AAAAATTTGTACCTCGAATTTGGAGGTACAACGCGATACATGCTTAAGAGTGTATACAACATCGGCCCAATTGGCTCCTTTCTCTCGTCTTCCTTTTTCCCTCTTTTCTCTCCATTTCGCATCGCGCGTATACGGTAGCATTGCCATACACTAATTTCGAGTATCTCGTCTCTCCAGGGGAGAGAGTTTGCGCAAAATTTCCTGTTACTCTTTTCTTTCTATTCCTCTTTTATTTTTACGCCCGTCTCCTACGAGTCGATCTGACGCTAAGCAAGCTCTCTCTTTCTCTCTCCCCTTCGGTCAGTACGAGAACACGTGAAGGGGAAAGAAAACGAATGTCCACGTTGGGCACGCGTAGGCGTGCCGAGACTTGGCATACTTCCGGCTCGTATCCGGCAGGTTTCGTTGAGGTTTCCTGCTGAACCCTCTCGATTTCTCACCGACGATCTGTCGCATCGGTTCTACTCGGGAAAGGTAAATGTAAGGTGGTTTGTCGGCGACTAACGTTTTCGCATTCTTCTATTCGGTTCCCCGTTCCGTTTAACTCTTTTCGTTAATCAGACAACTTTCGGGGAGGTGTCGTTCGGTTAAGAGCTCCCGAGGAAGCTGCTGTCGTTTCGCAGCAGCTTCCTTGTCAGAGTTTCGAAGCCGTCGCGCCGACGAGAGGATCTCTCTTTTTCTTTCTTTTTCATGCGGTCGATGACGTTGCAACGAGGACGCTGACGCACGTAATTGATCAGGACGCTCACCCGACAGCTCGCTCGCTCGCGTGTCTCTCGTGTCTCGCGTGTTTCTCGAGCTTCCTCGACCTCCTGCCGCGCGACTCGCGAGATCGATATCCGGGTTGCGGGTCGCAACAAACAACGGCGGAAAGCCACGCCGAAAGCAATCGCCGCCTGTGTCTATCGGGCTCGGCGTTTCAAAGAAATGCGCACTTGGCGACGAGATCGTCGGTCGGGGGAAGGGGGAGCGGGGAGGTGAATCAACTTGTCGAATTAATTAAACGTCGGCTTCGCTCTACCAGGTTCGAAACGCAAACTCCCACGCAAGCATTCGTCGTCCCCGGCGTTCGTTCGTTCTCTCGCACCGGTCTCGCTCGCGGCTCTTTCGGCGACGATGTGTCGCGTGTCCCAGCGACGCCATGCTCGACACTATCGGTAAGGTCGTGTGCTAATGATCCTGGGGAACGATTCGATACCTTGGCAGTGAGGAAAATGACGAGCCCTGGCAGGAGATTCAACAAGCGAACGCGCTGGTGTCAGCTGCGACTTGGAGGTAGACGGGAGCGCGTTCAGATGGAGAACGCCGGTCTTCCTACCCCCAAGTAGTAACTGAATACCTCGGAGATAATTTATGGACGACTCTTACACCCGATATCGCGTCCGAATCGCGGTATAAATCCGATGAGTCGAAAGACTTTTCGCCGATATCGAGGGGCGATTTAGAGCCGACATTTCGGAACCGATAACGGTGTTCCAGATTTTCCTTTCCGGTTTCGATCCCTGCGAGTGTTTTGGCAGCCGAGGTATCGTATCGTTTCACACGCGTGTTCCGCAGTTTAATCGTCTGCTCGGCTTACATTTCGATAGAGTAAGAAAGGAGGCGCGAAGAGTCGCGACTTCGGGGCGAAACGCAACCGGGTCGCGTCACGCGAAGACTACATGTGAGTACGACGGTAAACTCTAGCACTTGAACAATGAAGGAACAAGCTTTTTGCTATGTTTTCATCGTGACTACTGGAATTCATGCTTCTGCCTTAGCGTTGTCGTTGTTAAAACTTGGATTACCTACCTGCCGAAACACGTATATCTCGCTTTGCTTTTCTTTTCTCTTTTCGTTTCTCTCTTTCGGGCGTGCCGTGAACGTACCGGCAAGCAAAGAATTTCGGATCGGGTCGAGAAACATTACCCGCCATTCTCCGACCCGTGAGATTCTCGAGGAGAAAACATCGGATATGGACGATCGATAGTCTTCCGAGACGCGCCATTGCGTTCGACTCGCACGTTTCGCTCCGTTCCCGCGACATTTTTATCAATTACGGATTACGGACAGATCTGAACGTTTCAACACTAACATTAAAAACGAGTCAGGTGAATAAATATTATCCCAATATACAGATACAAATATTACCCAGGCTCGTTCTCAACTATCAAAGTATACAAAGTTACGTTAGAGCAGTATCAGGACGGGATAAGATTATGCCGACAAAACCGACGTATCGTATCGCAGGATAAACAAGTCTCACAAGTATCTAACGTTCTAAAAGAATACACACCGTTACATCGACGAGCACAATCGCGAGAATCAATTTAAACGGTCGTGAAGCTCCTCTTCACCTCGATGCGATGTTACATTCGTCTCAATAGATGCAAATTAAAATCGATTTTTTGAATTATTTGTGAAAATTCGCACGTTCACACGAGAGCTTTCGATAACGTCGGCGAATGACGAGTTCCGGAGGAGCATCGATCCAACCTGATCGCCGCATTTCCCACGCACCAATATCCTCCAGATAGAGTTTTGCGTCGTACAATGAGAGGGGGAAAAAGAATCGGTCTCAAGTTGCTGAGCGTGAGGGGAAAAAAAATTGCACACATGCCACTGTCACCAGAATACCATCACCTGACTACTTCAGAATTAGTCTTTGTGTCCGGCGAGGCTGCCCGAGCCGCCTCTGCGATGGAATACGGTCGTTTTGGAAAGGTTCATTTCTCATTTTGGCCGATCGATTCGAATCCGGACGGACGCGCGAGTCGGAAGTCGAGCACGACTTCGTTATATGTCGCAGGGAGATGCTAAAAATAGAGATTTGATCAAATCTCCATTTTCATCATTTCCCTGCGACATATACGTTGCAGCGCACTGGTTGTTCCACGCGAAATTATTCCGGAATTATTCTCTCGTCAAACTGCCGCGCTTCACATCGTCGAGTCATCGAGCCGACAATCGGATGCGTGTAAATCTCGCAAACACATCGGTAAATAAATGTCGGCGAACACCGCGGAGCAGAAGTATTCACCTCGTTCGAAAAACAAATTGTAAACAAATAATATCAAACATATGTAAAAAAAAATAAAATAAAATAATTCGTTCATCCGTTTGCGAGGTGACTCGATTGTGTCAATTTGTCAAAGCGATCTTCGTCGGGATTTGCAGCGGATTAAATTAAGCCCGTAATCAATTCGTTTATCGGGTCGCAGCATTTTTCGTTCATCGAAAATCGTTCGGAAATCGATGCTTAAGATTAACGTTACATGCAAATAAATCGCGGTCGTGTAATGGAGATTCGCGCTGTACACACGAATTAGGTGCTGTCACTCGCGCGAAGAAGTTGCCTTGAACCAGCATCGAAAGGTATTTTTTCTGTCGTTTTCCTCTTTTGTTCAAAAAAGATTTTTTTTTAGTGTGTATGCACAGAAGTATGCTTATACAGTTAGTGCGCATGAGGAATATAGTGGTGGCTTTTATCAAGTTATTGAGAAGGAATGTTGATGATTGTCGGCACACATACAGCACTTGGCAATGCTTACTAAGTATCTACAGTTCAACCTACACCCGAGTGCCTGTACCATACGTTTACATCCAAAACACCATGCACTCTGTACACTAAAGTAAAAAATCCCGACATGTGGATCGGTGGAAATAAAAAAGAGAGAGAGTAAGTAGTCCTGTATCACACCAGCGAGGGGAGCGTTATTATACGTCGCGCTTACGCGAAATATGCGTGCTCACCGAATCGTTACGCGTTCACAGAAATTTGTCTACGGTGAAATCGCGAACCTGATTCCTGAACTGGACGGCGCGAGAGTCGCGTGGAAACATTAAACGGCACCGTGAACGGTATTTCACGGGACACCGCGCGATAAAGTTTTGCGATACTGCAATAAGCGACGAAATCACGAAGGTAGACGATGTTCCAGCGAGATTGTACGAAAAGTTGCACGAAAAAAACCCGTTCTTTCCGTCTTCAAGTATCCTTTTATTTTTTACGCTGATGAGAACCAGGTCCACGTTTGAGAAAAAAAAAGGTTTACGAGCAAAACCTTGAAACGTTTTCTCTTTTTCCTTTTCTATCGGCAAGTTCGTCGTCGTAAGGCAACGGCAAACGTTTTCACCGCAAGCCCTAACTACCCTTCGGTTTCGGTTCTAATCCCTTTCCCTGATCTTATCTGTGTGCGTGTATAAGTAATGCAAAGCTGCACAGACTACCAAACCATTATACAGTTCGATGTGAAACTCAGTCAACTAACTACCCCTCAAATTTAACAGATATCACAATAACAAGGAAACTTCCTTCCTTCTTATTGTCATGTCGAGGAAATGTTACAGAACCTTAATCCATGAAAGCAAGCAGCTGCCGTGTACAAGGAAATACCGATGCTTCATGTATCAAGGTGCTTATAAGTACTGTACCGGTTTTGTACCCACAATACATGCAATTAATCCATCACCATCGAAGTTACCACAATGCGGTTCTGTGTACTCATAAACAGTAATTCATAATTGCGACTAACACATGAAATGTCCTTACAACACTCGATATCAAGTTCGTGTTTCTAACGATTAAGTAAGAATCACTCATTTCTGTACGTGAGCCATGTGTGGATACAAAACTTCCGAGTTTGTTGCGCTGCCATTATTGCCAGATCCTAGTGGACGTACCACTATTTATATAAAGTGAAGTCAATTTCTCGTACAAATCATAAATAGATATTAAACCTAAATAAGTTGCTCCGTCAAGGAATTATCACGATTCTCGAGACTTAACAATTTACATTTCACGCTACGACCGGAATGACGATATTTCCAAACTTCCAATTAAATATTAATTACCCAAAGTAGCCGAGTTTTATCATCGAATCTGTCGTAACACAATGGTATACACGCGCTGTATACTCACACATGTACACGCATGTGTACCTTCCTTATCGTAATGGCAGGGCAACAGACTGTATCATGTAATTCGTACGTGATAAGAGAAAGGATGGATAACCACTCACCCTGTACTATTTCCGGCGCTAACCTCTCTCCCGAAGTGCTTGGTTTTGAAAGCAGGTGTCCTAAAAGACAAGACATTCCTAGTATCAAAAATTCGTGCCAAACCGAGTGTAACCTTAGGCAGATCGGAAACACCGAAGACTGCCGCGAAAGATATTTACCGACATCTGACGACTGATGTTTGCCGTCCAAACCATCCGACGTTGACTGACTCGAGTAAAATGTCTGACTGATGTCGAGCTTCTGTTCGTGATCGGGCGTCGACGACGTGTCGTCTATAGTGTTTTTGTTCAGCGGATTGTCCCCCAAACTCTGATCCTCGTAGCTACAGCTGCTGCCGTCTTGTTCCAAATATTCGGGCATCTCTAACTTGAGATTCGGCATTAGGGGGATTATTTCGACCGGGTCCGAACCCGGTCTGCTTTGACTATCCGACGTCTTACTGTCGGCATCCTTCCCCGACACGTTGCTGCCCGCCGAATTCTTCTCCGCGCTCGCGTTCGTGTCACGTGTTTTTCTCCTCTTGTTCGGATGTATCTCAGGCTGCAACTCGACGGAGTGGAACGGAATCGGAGAAGAGGGCGATTTGTTTCTCTTGTTTTCACCTGATGACTTTCCGGAAGTGTTCTGCAGCTGTACCTCGGGCTCATTTGGGATTTCTATGTCATCCTGTGAAATGATGCGATGCATGAACGACCTGTGTCTTTCGAACACTTACACTCCATATTGCTCCACTGTCAGCGTCTCACCTCTAAACTGTCGTTGTCCTTTCCCGTACCGTCTGTCAAACCCTGTACTGCCAAGAGTTCTGCTGTTGTGAGGAAACTCGCTAACTGTTCTTGAACGACATTCACTTCGCCTTGGTACATGAAGTCTACCAAGGCGGCCAGATCGTCGAATTTTACATTACGAAATATTATGATAGGATGCTGGCATGGATTTTCCTATAATGTAACAAATGGTGCTTAGACAACAATTTTCGACGAAGTTTGTTTACACGAGTATAGCACAAACCAATTAAAAGTGTTATTACCTTAAATAAATCTCTAAAATATGTACTACATGCTGACAAGAGCATCTTATGCGCCCTGATCCTCTTGCCTTCGCAGCTCAAAGTGACATCTACGAGATCTTCATCTGTCCTTAATGTGTCGAAAGCGCAAGTAATATGTTTTAGATAATTATTCCACCTAAGAGAAAACTGTTGACTGGAACCCATGCTGCTCTTCTGGAAGCAGAAAACCCCAATCTCTTATCAGATCACGAAGATCATAATTTGTAAATTTGTATCACAAAGAACAAGTTCAATTAAGTATACAAACATCAAGTGCTTCAAAACAAAAGATATTTAGTAAGTACAGCATAGGTTCACTTTATTATCAGATCAGATAAATATTATCTTAATTTATTAGCAAAAATAAGAACAGAATAAGAGGATAAAGGGAACCTGAATCATCATCTTATTTCACCCATATATAGAAATGTTGCAAAGACTACATACATACATACATATATATATGTGTGTGTAATAAGTATATATATATGTCGCAGGGAAATGATGAGAATGGAGATTTGATCTACCTAAGGTAGATGATCAATTCACGGAAGATGTTAAAATAACAACTCTGTGGGGTGATTTCCCTAAAGAAAATAAGTGATTTGATCAAATCCCTTAACTGTTTTAGTGAAAAGATGAAATAAACAAGTCAGGATTCGCACAGCTCTATGACCACACCCCACAGAGTTGTTATTTTAACATCTTCCGTGAATTGATCATTTACCGCAGGAGTTGAAGTAGAGTTGTGAGTGTGAACTGGTTCGAGTTGTCTTGTTGTCGATAAAAAAGTTGATTCAATTTCTGATATATCCTCTAAATTTAAAGCCTTTTTGGTGAATAAATCAGCTGCCGGTAGATTGTGTGACATTGAAGTGTTATTGTTGATTGATTTAATTATTGATAGATCATTTGAAGTTGAAGCGTCATTGTTGTTCTCTAAGGAAGCTGCTGGTAAGTCTTCTGGTGTTAAAATAATGTCATGGTCCTGCTGATTAAGAAGTAGATCCAAGTCCTCTTCAGTAACAAGTTTTTCAAGCAACTCTTTCGAAATATGACTAGATTGGAGTCCTGTTTTTGGTTCTGTTCCAAATAAAGCTTTGTAAGGTGATCGTTTAATGGTTCGATGAAAAGAGGAATTCTTTTGGAATTGAACAAAGTAACAACTTATAGCCCAATTTTTTGTGTCATTGTCAATTAGCCAAGCACGTAACATAGCTTCAACATCTTGATTTGATCGCTCAACAGATCCTTGACTAGCTGGGTGTCTAGGCCTACCATTTACAATTTTGCACGTTGGCCATAAGCTTGTTAATTCTTGTATGACAGCAGCCGTAAACTCACGGCCGTTGTCGCTTTGTAGTATATGAGGACAACCTACTTCTAAAAATATTTTTAACAGCTCCATTGCTACTTCAGCAGCTCTTTTTGAAGTCAACGGTCGAAGAAAGCTGAATTTCGTCGCGTGGTCCTGGTAGTGTAATAGCCATTTGTAATTTCTATCTAGGGTCGACTGTAAGTCAACTAAATCGACTTGGCCACGATGATTGAAGTCGCTAGATACAATTGGGCAAACAACAATTCCTTTTCTTGGAATTTTTTTTTTAGACTGACATACCGTGCACAGCTTTAAAAACTCCAGTACAACTGAAGTAGGTATCAGGTATTTCGATTTCAAACTATACAGCATTTTATCTCTTCCTCCGTGGTCAGTTGACTGATGAGTTTTCCGAAGTATGTGATAAAAATTTTCCGTTGGCACTATTTGCACAACTGGATCGGAGTCAGACTTTCTCTTCAAAATCAAAGATTTTTTAGTACCTACTTCCATAACATCGTATTTTTTTCCATAATAGTACTGTTTATGTGTCCGTTGCAGTTTAAGTAGTGGTGCTAATTTAAATTGTTCGATTACTGTGATAGCTTCTTCTATCCTTTCGCGAGTCCACAAAGGTTTTTCTTTATCATGCCGCTTGTTCAAAAACGTCCTGATAGTTTCATTAAACTGTTCTTCAAATACATATTCGGTCAGCGTTTGATTTTTTTCTATATCTGAACCCATTTTTCTACGGTAGGTACTTGATAAAACTCGAAATATAGAAAACAATAATAAAATTGCGCGCAACCTTTCTCGCGTAATGTTTGGGCGCTACTGTGTGCGTCACGTCAGAAGCGCGGCGCTGGCCGGCACGGACGCCGGAGGGGAGCGGTGAGGTAAAGGCGAGTGGTAACAAGCGAAACATAGGAGCTGTGCGAGTCCTGACTTGTTTATTTCATCTTTTCACTAAAACAGTTAAGGGAGTTTGATCAAATCACTTACATTCTTTAGGGAAATCACCCCACAGAGTTGTTATTTTAACGTCTTCCATGAATTGATCATCTACCTTAGGGATTTGATCAAATCTCCATTTTTATCATTTCCCTACGACATATATATATATATATATATGTGTGTGTGTGTGTGTAATAAGCCACCATCGCTAATACACACGGGAGCGTCGCGTTGCCGCGCGAGATCTTACCTTGACTGTGCGCGTCCTCGGGGTTGCAAGTTTATCGGTCGGGAAGAATCTCCCGGGGAAGCCTCGTGTTACGGCAGCACGAGCGGAGCAGAAAAATCGGAATATCGGTGCGCGGTCGCGATCCGGCCGACCGTTCACGGGCGAGCGAATCGTGGAGAAGAATCGTCTCTCTTCGGCCGCAGCGCCGGGCGTAGACACGCACTAGTCGTCGTCGCGCGCTTAGCGAAAAATAAAAACTGTAAACAGCCGAGCGGGCCAGACTCTCATGGCACCGTGGAAGCAACACCGTGGGGGCCCCGTCTCCGCGCGCCGCGCACTCGTACTCTCCCGCGCCTCTCTCTTTCTCTCACACCGTTTCCCTCTCTTTCTCTCACGCGCTCTCGGCGATCCCGTCGAACTCAGCCAGCGAGCCGCGCGTCGTTATGTAATTTCATTGCACTCTCGCGGCGTGCTCGCGCGCCCGGAGAACTGCCCTGTGCCGGATTCGCGTCGTGTCCCTTCACAACAAGCCGCACTTCGAAGCCGAGTGACAGCTGGCAGCCATTTTCCGTACGAGAATACGCGTAAGATGCGCGAGGAGGCCCAACCACCAACTCCCTCTTTCGCCTCTGGCACCCGTGCCTCACTTCAAGCGGCCGTCGCGCGCAATGCGTGTGACGTTCGCTGCCGATGACGTCGGCCGAGCGCGCGACTTTCGAATGTCAGAACGCTACGAACGGCGCTTCAGATTCGATCACGAGCGAGAGTACAGCTATAATATGATTAATTATTATTAATGATTAACCTCCCTGTGACATTCAACGCGATTTTCGTGTTGCGGGAATACAGAGATTAGATTAAATGCTTCCATCGTAAGAATTAAATGCGAGATAATGCAGGTTATAATTGCTCTGATTCTTACCTACTCTGATTCTATCGTCATGACTTTGGCAAAGATTTGATCACCTCGAGGTACAGGAAACATGTCTTCGAGTAATATAATGAAATACCTGCATTTTATTATACTCTTACTTTTTTCTTTCTTTGGCTTCCCGAGAGAGACGTAAAGATATGTGCTTCTATTTTTCTGAGTGTAGAAAGTGCATAGAAGTGCAGCACAATGCGCGTATACGGTGGTAAAATGCAACGTGTACATCCTTGTTTATGATAAACGAGAATAATTAGGTGGTATAATATAGGACGCGTGAGAAAATGTCAATCTGACTTACTCTACTGCTGTAAAATATAGTTGTTGAGTCACTAATTAATACAAATAATATTGTTGATAATATGGATTTGCCAGTGAATGAGGGAAATATACAGCAAATACTGAATAAACTCTCTGATGATGAGGTTTGTGTATAACATTAGGCTGGAGATATACTACAAAGTCTGTTATTAAAACATAATTATAATTATCTATATCGGATATAACAGTTTAATTTCTCTTATACATTCTAATGTACATTTGATAAAAAGTTAATTTGTTGACAGGTTTCCATAAAAAAAAATCTAGATGCAATCCTTGCTCGACGATGTCACGTTGAAGCAAAGCTCCAGAATATTGGCAAAGTATTGCCAAATGTAATAATAATACATACTGAAGGGGAGAAATTTCGTGACATGATTGCTCGTACCAATGAGCTAGCAGAGAATGTTAGTGCCAAAGTAAGGCAGCTAGATTTAGCAAGAGTAAGTTATTGTAATCGATGTCACTTGTAAACAGAACCTTACATATTTGTCTATTATTTGTCTATTACTTGCATATAATTAAATACTATAATCTTGTTTGACAGAGCAGAGTGTGCGAGTGCCAAAGTAGAGTAAATGATATATTAGATTTGCAATTATGTAGTGAAGGAGTGGCGACGGCACTACGGAATGAAGATTATGAACAGGGTGCTGCTCATGTCCATCGTTACTTATCAATGGACCAACAGTTGTTGGAAAGAACAGCCGAAGATGTATCAGGAGATCATACTAGCATCAGCAGTTCTCTGGTTACCTTGCAGCAAGCTGCTATGGAATTGAGAGCTGTCGTCACTCATAAGTTCGATGAGGCTGTGAAATCTGAGGATTTGGCATCTGTCGAGAGATTTTTCAAGATATTTCCACTACTGGGCATGCACTTAGAAGGACTCAAGAAATTTTGCAGTTACTTGTGTACCAAAGTACGTATATGTGTGTGTGTGTGTGTGTGTGTGTGTGTGTGTGATACAATATTATATTTCATATTATTATAATATCATCTTATAATAACTTCTACTAAGAGCACAGTTTTATTTTTTACTAAGAAGATAACATTTTTAAATCTTACTCATTATGTGTATTAGCTGCACGAGACTGCCCAGAAGAATCTACAAATGGCATTGGAGATTAAAAGTAACGATAAGAGAGCGGCTGTTATTTTCGCCGACACTATGACTCTCTTATTCGAAGGAATTGCACGTATTGTAGAGGTGCATCAGCCGATAATCGAAACTTATTATGGCCCTGGTAGACTTCTAATGACAATCTCGATTTTGCAGAAGGAGTGTGATAGGTGAGAGAAGCTCATACAGTGGAATGCACATCGAGCCTTAGATATTCGTACGCGTGAAATAATTACGTTAACTCGTATGCCATAAATAGACAGGTCAAGAAGATTGTCACGGTATTCACGAAGCAGAGGTGTATATCTAAGAATGTGCAAACGATAAACGATTACTTGCGGAAGCCGAATCCCGAGAGGATCGATCCCAAAGAGCTCGATCTCCTTCTGGGCGAAATTACAATAATGCATTCGAGAGCAGAACTTTACATACGTTTCCTGAGAAGGAGAGTGAAGGTTGCGGAAAAATACCAATTACTAAGCTCGCAGAATGCATTGCGCAACTTAATAAGTCATTAATGAGCCGTTGGCATTGCAGAACGACATCGAGATCAGTACGACCGACGAGACGCAGCGCACAGACTTGCTGAATGAATTCGAGACGATCGTGAACAACTCCGAGTTGGCGCACGGGATGCAGGAGTTGCTCGGCGCTTATCTCGCGTTAGAGAGATACTTCCTCGAGGAGAGCGTGAACAAGGCGCTGGGAATGGACGCGTTGGATCCTGACCAGCAAACTTCCAGCATGGTGGACGACGTGTTCTTCATAGTGCAGAAGTGCGTGCGGTACGTATCGCGTCGGACACGACGTCTGCGTTGCGTCCCCTCCTTTTCCTCTTTCCTCCTCTTCTTCTGGAACTTAGCTTGATTTCACCTGTGCCAAATGCAGAGCCTCAACTCAAGGAGGCTAACGAATATCATATCCGCAGACGCGCTATGTCCAGCTGGAGCATAGACGGCGTTTGCGCCGTCGTCAACATGGCATGCGGTATCCTAGAGGGCGATTTCGCGAACCGCTTGAGAAACAGACTGCGCCAAGGTTACCCGGCAGGCTACTTGGACCTCGCGCAGGCATACAGCGCTCTTCAGACGAGCATACAGCACGGCCGTTTGCAAACATCGGATACGGAATATGCTCGTCTCATGTTCTTGGTAAGTCCACGGCTGACACTGCTTGTTACTTCATTTCCCGTGATAATGATGATTATCTAAATTATATCTGTATTTTACCTAACTGTGTAAATCTGATATTGATACTTTGTCGCTTACAGGCGTACTTAAATAACACCGACGTGAGCACGGAGTACGTCGAGACACTGTGCAAGAGCCTCGGCGCGGAGATAGACGCGACGTTTCCCAACATGCAGAAGAAGGATAGGGGCAAAATCGACAGCTGCTTGTCCAGCCTGAAAGGAGTCATATTGATCCTACGAGGTGTCATCGATTACGGCTTGGAGCAGCTACGAGTCAGCGCCGTGAAACCCAGAGTCACCCCGTGGGTCGACGCGTTTCTCTCCATTGATCATCATATCAATGAGGTACACGCACTTCAACACGATATACCTCTCGCCTGCGATCTCTTTCTTCAACTGTAACGGACAATGTGTATGCAGGACGAATTGTTGAGATACGAAACGGACGAGCCGTTCGTGCAAACGTTAGTCATGAATCTGGAGGGTCTGCTTCAAGGATTCAAGGGTAGCCTCACCACCTCCAATTACGACGCGCTCATCGGCCTGCTGACCGCGGAAGTTACGGCCCGCTTGGAGAAAGTGGTCTTAAAGTCGACCTTCAATCGAGTATGTGTTGCTGTAAATTTGAGGTCACCTCCTGCGTGACATAAGGGTGATTTCTATCAGCTTGGATTAAATTCAACCGCAAGTTAACTGCAACGAAGCGAATTTCTATTTCAGGCAGGAGGTCTGATATTGGACAAGGAAATAAGATCGTTAGCCAGCTACTTGGCTGCTGCTACTTCGTGGTCGGTGAGGGATAAGTTTGCGCGTTTAACACAGATCGCTACTATTCTGAGTATAGAGAAGGTGGAGGAGCTCGCGGACTACTGTGGTGCAGATGCGATAGCGTGGCGGCTAACGCCGTCGGAAGTCCGACGTATCGCCTCTCTGAGAATAGATTTCAGGCCGGAGGATATCAAAAGACTGAAGCTATAATTATATTTCGCCTCCTCACAAAGTCGGGCGTCATCATTCTGTTTGTGCAATTAATCTTTGCAAATTGCAGTTCACATGTACATGTGCATAAAATTGAGCGTATAATAAATTATTTACTATGATAGGGACAAAAATGCCTAATAAATGACTAACAATGATCGATCCACCATCTCTAACAGCGAATCTCTAATGACTAATTTTTGATATGACGCATTCTTCGTCAACCACTTTAATTATTCGTCGCTCTTAATTTTTTTCCACATTATTCGATACAAAAACAGCGACTGATTACCTATTCCTTTCTAATTTCAATTTTACAGATGTAGCATTTCAGAGAACAAGTTGAAGAAAGCATCTGAAAGAGCCTTTTGACGCGAGTGTTTTCAGACTTCTCTCTGATCTCAATTTTACACTAGTGACGGTGGCGGTTCGTAGCGAAGATGTTGGTACTAATAAAAATCCCACTGCTACGTTCGTCAGTCCCGATCTACAAAAGGTATTTTAAGTTGTAAGCTTTAAGAAATTGACCAATCACAGTTAATTATTCCCTTTACATTCGATTGTGATTGGTCAATTTCTTAAGGCTTAAAACTCTATTGTAGATCGGGATTTAGGGAAACAAAAGTTACTAAACCTAGACAGAGCCCTTATGTCTAGGAAGTTAGCAGCACTGCGAACGCCGCCATTTGCTGTTTCATTTCTGCGCTTTACATTCCAGTGATTGCATCAAGGAGTACGAGCAAACGAGAGAAATGTCCTCTGCGAGTGGAGACGAGGCCGATATCGCGCTGGCCGAACCAGGTGAGAATCACGCTAACGCGGGCGAATTACGCTGACCGATCGCTCGGTCGCATGTTGTCGTCGCGGAGTCACCTCGCACACGGGGACGAACGACGCGCAACCGGCGTGAGCGCCCAGCCCTTTGCAGTCGCCATTTGGGCGAAAATGGCGTCTTATGCATACATTGATATAAATATTTGATCGCTTCTCCCTTTGCAGTGAGGCGCACCAGGTCTGGCCGTACACGCAAAACGGCGGTGGTGGCTAAAAAGTCACCCGTGAAGAAGCTCCTCGCCAGGGCTACGCGCTCCCCGAAAAAGGCCCACGAGATCGAGGAGACCGAGGTACGTGTCGGAGGCGTACGAAGTGCTTCCCCTGGCGCCTAGATCGCCGATTAACTCTATTTCTCCTTGATTGTGCCATAAATGTAATCCTGAGGATGTGAACGGACTGTTGTTTCAGGACCCTTGTGTCTTTGTCTTATATTATTGCATTTAGATCTATAACTCAAGACAAATAAATATTTTTATGATCAGAATTAGTTAAGATAAATCGTTGATATAGTTTATATAGTTATATAGTTTATAGTATGCGTTTATAAAAAAAGATAGGAATGATTATCTATCTGTACTGAAATGATTACATAAGTTAAAATAAATATACTTTTATATAGTTCAATACAGATTATGTAACACAATTATAACTTATTTGATTGTGATATGACTATTAAATTTTATTTGCAATTTCCTTATAAAATTTGTTACTTTGTGAAATGAAAATTTATGTAGTAATTTGTTGATATTCTACTGATATTTCTATATGACTGTATATAAAGGATGCAAAAGAATATTGTTCTCAAGTGGCTGATTGTGATTGCAGGAGGAAGCATCCATGTTGGAAGAAACCATAGTGGAAAACATGACTGAGAATGGAGTTCAACAGCTAACAGATATTATTATCGAACAACGTAGCGAAGAAGACACTCCTATGTTACACTTGGAGTTGGAAGATTCCGAAGACACAAATGTGCATGAGATGAATGTTGCTCAAAGTGAAGAAATTGAGCAAGAAGTGGAGGAAATGGTGAGTAATACAAGTAACATGAAAAGTAACCATCCAAGTAACTTAATATATTAATCTTTGATACACGATATGGTGAACTTTCATGTCACACATTAAATTTTTGTCTTAAAAGACAGTTTGTATCGCTATATTATTATTTTAGCAATTGTTACATTGAATTGTCTGAGTTGAAACTTTTGATACTTTTTGCAGGAACATTCCAATGTCAGAGCTGAAGGTATGATAGTGGAAGAGAATAGTATGGACAGGGAAGAGCTGGGCGAGGAACAAAGCGAGGTCGAGTTGGAGGGGCCAGACATCAGTAACGACGACTACGATCAGCAACGCGTACTTATAGAGTTTCAGGAAGTCATCAACGAAGATGGCACTACTATGATACAGGAAATAATGGAATCGGAAAAGGTGAATTCGGAGAACATGCCCACCGCAACCGGGATTGTCATGGAAATCGACGACTCACAGCAGGGAATAACTGTGATCGCAGACACAGTGATGGACAAGGTGGATACCGACATGGAGATATCACAGAGTGGCGACTCTGTGCCGCGTATAGAGATAACTGAAGTGAATGAGGTCGAGGCGGAAAGCGCGACCGAAGAAGACTCGAAGAAAATTGAACCCGACACGGAGGCTGTGTCGGAGGATGAGTTGCCGAGTGAAGCTGCGGCCAAGGTGAGATCTCGCGTTTTACTTGTTAGATTTTCTAAGATGGATAAGATTATGTTATGTCGAAGAATAAATCCAAATCGAGGAACAGCCTTGAATAAGTATGACTTTGAACACGCAGGAACCCGAAACTGAGGCAGTGTCCGACGAGGAGTTGCCGGTCGCTGCTCCGGCGGACTTGGGCGAAACCGAATCCGTGTCCGAGGACGAGTTACCACCGGACAGCGACAAGAAGCGAAAAGGCGTGGCGAAGTCGATCAACAAAACGCCAGATAAGAAAGCAAAAACTGAGAGCGGAAGTGAGTACACCTTCCATAGCGTCTCGGAGGATCTTCGCGACCTCGAATTGATTCCGCTACATATTCTTCCTTCTTTCAGACAAACGCAAGTTAAACGCGGAAGGGGAATACGATCCCAGTTCTCCGACGTCCGAAAACAACGACGAGACGCCCGCGAAGAAGGCTGCGTTATCCAGCGAAGCAGATGCGGCGGAGAAGCAAGAGGCCAAGCCGGCGTCGCCCAAAAAGAAAACCCTACCCGAGCTGGAAAAGTATTGGAAAGCCGTTAACGAAGATCCGTCCGACTTTACGGGTTGGACGTATCTTTTGCAATACGTTGATCAAGAAGTAAGCGAAACGAAAATATATTCAACAAAGAAAAAGGTTCTACGAAATTGCGAAATTAAAGAGAATAGAGTCGTATTGAGCCGAGCACGAGTTCAGTACTGTAAAAAAATTTGTTTGGAGAAATGCACGCGTGTCTGACTAAAATTTGCTACGTTTACTTTTTTCCGTAAAAAAAAACGCGAAAAAATGGGAAAACGGATTTTTCTCGAAACTTGAAACTATAACATAACATCATTTATATTTCATTCCTTGAGATTCGATTCTCTCTTGCGTTTTCCAAAACATTTTTTGATATGACTTTTACGGTCAGGATGAGTCGTGGTCGAAAAACTGTGCTCGAGCTAACGATCGATTATTGTCACTTTCCTCAGAACGACGCAGAAGCCGCGCGCGAAGCTTACACCAAATTCTTGGAGCGTTACCCATATTGCTACGGCTACTGGAGAAAGTTCGCCGATTACGAGAAGAAGAAGGGCAACCCCGAAAATGTCCAAACGGTGAGTCCGATCGTATATTAATGTTCATTAGGCTATCTCTCATTATGATATCATTTAATTAACGCAATCTAATGAAAATAGTTCGAGTTAGGAAGACGCGTGGGCAGTGTGCACGCACATAAATATGGTTTTCCCTTCCAACAGCCTAGCACGTCTTGCGGCACCTATACGACTCTCTCCGTTTACCAAATAGCTACTTATTTAATGTTTCTGCGATATCTATATGAAAAGTATTACGCTACATTACGTACTCTTTATCGAATACCGTATATCATACCAAGTACCGTACTACGATACGTTAGCCTGGCGAGATTGCTAGTTGTTTCCGATTTGTGCGAAGCGCCTTTTATCGCGACACAAAGCAAAACAAAAACAAAGCAACAGAAGGAACCGAAAACTGTGTGTTATATTTTACTGTAAGCATTTGTACACATAGCTTACTACAGAAAGTATTGTAAAACTTAAGCATAAGATATATGCGCTACTCTTACTTTATGTAAGTAAGATATGTCGGGATGGGTGCTAAGTCAAAGTCAGAGACAAAGACTTAGGACGTGCACGTGCCAGAGAGGGAGCAAGAGAGTGGTGGAAGACACAGGGGCGCCCAGATCGGAACACTCCCTGACTTTAAGGTGAATTCACAATGCTCTGCAATCTCTGTGTTAATTAAATCTCTTTATTTACAGTACGCGTACGATATGTGAGTATACGTTGCTAAAAAAAAAAAAGAGACAAAGACAAAACCGTAATGCTTAACGAAAGCTAAAAGCAAAAAATAGGTATAAGAATCTACCCGCTGCCACCCCAACCAGTTGTAAGCTGTTCTAAATACGATTTAAAAATCGTTACCGCAGGTGTTCGACCAAGGTCTGAAAGCTATTTCGCTAAGCGTCGATCTGTGGCTCCATTACATCAACCACTGTAAAACTGTCTATGAAAAGGACGAGGAGAAGCTCCGGGAGCAGTACGAGAGAGCCATACAAGCGTGTGGGCTTGAGTTCAGGTAATGAATCCACTGGCTTTTGTATTAGAAATTCATATATTCGAGTACATATACTAAATATATATGTTTATTTTACTTCACTTTGTGTGTATGTGTTTATAAAATGTCAAGAAGGGACTTCTTTTTACCACATGCCCCTATCCATATCTTAAAACTACTTGACTAATTAAAATTCAATACATAAATCAAATTCAATACATAATCACCGAATAAAACAATACTTTTTTCATTATTTCTATCCTATCTCTATCACAGCCTTTTATATACAATCACTAATACTTGCTTACTTTTATTTATTTCCTACTTAATTCTTGCAGTAACTCCAAACAATTTATTACTTCTTACATCTCTTCATTTTCTATAAAAGTGAACTCAAAATATGGACCATTGTCTTTATATATCCCTTCTCCTATTATCTCTTCCTCTCATTCATATTTGCGTACATTATAGAAATTTCCTTCAATCGATACTATGTGTACGATTATGTCAAGAGCGGGGTAACTTTTAACGCGTTTAATTGACAAGAATAGGATTAGTTTTAAAGCTATATTTTCTTTTTCATCTGCGAATGACGTCGCGGTAATGCGATGCGTGAATTTGCCCCGACAACGAATCGTCGAGAAGATAATTACGAATAATGCAACGATTGAATGTAATCAAACACAGATCGGATCGTCTCTGGGAGAGCTACATAAAATGGGAACAGGAGGCGAAGCGCTTCAGCAGAGTAACGGCGCTGTACGATCGCTTGCTCTCGACGCCTACGCTCGCCTACACCACCCACTTCGACAACTTCCAGGCGTTCGTCGATTCTAACTTACCGAATCGCATCTTGAGCGTGGACGATTTCCTGGCGTTGCGCGCCGAGGTGAAAGCCCTTCTCAAATCGGACGACACCACCGCGACGTCTGCTTCCGACGATGCCCCACCCGGTGAGGAGCCGCCACCCCATGAAGTGCCGCCGACCGATGAGGAGACGCGAGCCATCCGGGAGAAGATCATCAGCAGCAGGCGCAAAATGCATAAAGCTAACGTCAACGCGGTGGCCGCGAGATGGTCGTACGAAGAGGGAGTACGTAATCATACGATTACTGTTACTATGAAGTTCTGACTTAGCAAATTATGAGACTTCTTAATTTCACAGCCTTAAAATAGCGTTTCACTGCTATAAACGAATAAAACTCATTTCGAGTCCATGCTCTAGAACTACTCCATATTCGCGCGGTAAATCTGGATTCGTTGTAGTATACAGAAGTCAGTGTTTTACATGTTTTATGTTGTAAGTAAAAAAAAAATTCTATTCCAAATTAAAGGATTTCAAAAGTTGACGATTTTATCGATACAGCATGAGATACATTACATATATGAAATCCGAATTAATTGGGGAAGTTGCCCGGCGCAATATAATAACTGTGTGCTGTACGATTGACAGATAAAGAGACCGTACTTTCATGTGAAACCTTTGGAGCGATGTCAGTTGAAGAACTGGAAGGAATATCTCGATTTCGAGATCGAACAGAAGGATCAGAACCGTATAATCATCTTGTTCGAGAGGTGTCTGATTGCTTGTGCGCTATACGATGAATTTTGGATGCGGGTAAGTGAAGCTACTGAAGAGCACCTATCAACTCTAGCTAGCCACTCTTATTTTCGAGTCTTAAATTCTCCACATTCCGGCTCGTGAGACTTTGTCGCCTTGTCATTTTTATTCTAATTGGTATTTTTAAACTTGCAATGTGGGAATTGGAAATACAGAGTCTGAATGTTTATATCAGATCGAGAAAATCATTTGAGTTCAAAAACTTATTATCATAAGGAAAGGATTTTTATTTTCGCGGATAAAACTCTCATATGGTTTCGCAAATGCACTTTAAGAAAAAGTAACGTTCGTTCGTAATGGACACTTGATATTTGAAGAGAAAAAATAAGTGAAAACTAGAAAACCGGAAAACATTCAGCAATCCACTGAACTGGAATGTGACGAGCTAGGGTTAACTTTCTAACGCCTGTTTCCGCTATCGTGGTTCAAATCTAATTGACGATTAACTCAACGGAATTGACGAACCGTATTTACCAATTAGTTAAACCGATTAATGTGATTGGTCAATTTCGTTGAGTTAATTGTCAATTAGATTTAAACCATGATGGTGGAAACGGGCGTAACACGCCTATATCATTATATCATTATCGTGTGAGTGGAATGTGTAAAACTTGGACCTTGCGTTTGCAGTTTGTGCGTTACCTGGAGTCATTGAAGGGAGATAACACGGAGAAAATCCGAGACGTATATTCTCGGGCTTGTATGGTGCACCATCCAAAAAAGCCAAACTTGCATTTGCAGTGGGCTATCTTCGAGGAAGGCCAAGATAATTTTGAGAAGGCCGCGGCCATATTAGAAAATATTGACAATGTATTGCCAAATATGTTACAAGTGGCGTATCGACGGATAAACTTGGAGCGCCGTCGCGGTGATTTGGAGAAAGCCTGCACACTATACGAGAATTATATTAGCAATAGCAAAAATAGGACGATCGCCAATAACATCGCCGTAAAGTACGCACGGTTTCTCTGTAAAGTCAAGAATGATGTTGACAAGGCGATTAAGGTATTGATGAAGGTATGTATAAATTGGACGTTTCTCTTGATACTGAAGTCGTCACGATGAATTGAACTCTTAACGAAATTAATACATATCTCGCGATTTGTCCTACAGGCTACGGATAAAGACAAAGACAACCCTAGACTGTACCTGCAATTAATAGATTTGGGTATGCAGCGAACGCCGGTTGATACTCAAGAAATAGTAGGCTACATGGACATGTTCATCGAGAGGGAGCATGCGGATCTCGAGCAGAGAGTGCTGTTTGCGCAACGCAAAGTTGAATTCCTGGAGGACTTCAGCCCAGACATTCGACAAGTGTTAAAAGCCCACGAACAGTTCCAGAAATGTATTAAGCAAGCGAAGGAGAGAAAGAAGGCGAAGGGTGACGATAACAAAACGTGAGTAATTAGCGTAAGCAGGAGAATTAGAAGAAGAAAAGCGAATATACGAGCAATTTCTATCGTTCGCGAAATTAACGTACTTATTGTACCGTCAGATTCGAATGCGCCATTAATATCCTTCCATTTGACGCAAATATATCAAAAACTAGGTATATACTGACCCAACGAACAAGGAACGGACAACGAATACAAACTTGTTACAATTTGGAAAATGTGTATACCATAACAAATCTGAACAGAAAGCTTTATAAGATGATTTACCAAATAGTTTCTTCTTTTTAGTTGAACTGGCTACACTAGTTAAAGAAATTTACATACACATTGAAGCGTATGAAGCGTAACGTACGAGACATTCACGCTTCAATGTGTGTAAATTTCTTCAACTAGTGCAGCCAATTCGGCTAAAGAGAACAGACCAAAAGAGAGAGGAAGTTCGTACACGTTTAGACGCGAATGTTGTACACACTCATATTACATATTCGCTGTTTGTTCGTTCGTTCAGTGTATACCCACTTGAAATCGCTTTCGTTAAAACAGACATTACGAAATCGGCATTACCTGTACGTTGCAGCGATTCTTCGCCTCCGAAAAAAGTGAAGACCGATCAGTCGAACGTGCCACCTCCACCGTCCGTGGGTTCGCAGTCTTCGTACCAGTATAGCAGCGGCCCGAGCGGACCGTACCAATCGCAGCAGCAGTTCCAGGGCGGTCAGTACGGCGGTCAGGGAGGCTATCAGCAGGGTTATCAGCAGTATCCACCACCGTCGGACCCTAATTACGCTAACTACCAAAATTGGCAGTACGGCCAGGGCGGGCCACAGGCTTACGGACCTTACAATCAGTGGGGATCTTACAACTACTACTAAACGATCGCGCAATCGAGTTCCCCAAGATCGACTATGACATTTGTTAATTTTTGTCCACTGTACATTCTCTAGCGTTTTATTCTGCCGATTTCGATTTCGAAATCATCGGACGGAGGAGTTAATTGTTTAAGTACCCAAATGACGCCTCGGTATCCTAACATTGAGAGCTTACGTGTGTCGACCGTTGACGACGGTTCCTTTCTGTGTCGATATTTGGGAGCTGCATTTCGTACACGCTCAATGACGGCATCGGTTCGATGATTCATTGTTTAATGATACGATTATATCGTTTTACGGTTTTATGATGTGATTATACCTGTATAACGTGACACTCACCGAACCGACGCTGGTCGGTTAAAAGCGTGCAGCGGAGTAGCGGCCCCGATGTATTGCATGAATATATAATCGCGTGTACTGAACAAGCTGTGTACCGTTAGCAGAACTTGCTCTTTATGTTATTCGCTACATGCACATTGTACATCTTCGTAAATCGCATCTTCGCGACAACAATATTCCCGGGTACAAAAGAAGAAGGAAAATTTCGAGCTATTGTATTTGAAACGCCAAAGACTTTTGGGATCAATGATGTTATACATCAAGCAAGTGTCCAATTATGGGAGAAATAAAAAGAGAAGAAAGGAGAGTGGAATCCTGCTACTGGTATACAGATTTTCTAGAATCCTATGTGTTCACTTCAAAGCGTTGCGGTCCAGTTGGATGTGACTGTGGACTTGTGTCACGCATCGCGTTCATAATTAAGAGTGGGATTAAGCACACTTGAGATGCACAGGCAGGCATGATAAATAGCCTTAAGGCTCCTGTTTCCTTGTCCCCTTGCGACCATTTTGATTAATGACTTTTGAAGCGGGAAAATACACGCCCAAAATTCTCGGAATATACATTGAAATACAAAGATTATCCGTAAAATGACACTTGTAATTGAGATCTGTATTATCAACTGATCTTTCCTCTTGCTCTAATGATCAATCAATATCAAGTTAACATGACATATCACATATTTCAAAGGTTAGTTTCACATCACGTTGATGTTGTGATTAATAAATTATAGAATCAGAAGTTCTCGAAGTATTTTTACAAATTGCTCCGACGAACACGTAACTTTTTTTTTTACAAATATCTTTTTGTTTCAATGTACTCTATGAAAATTTTGAACGTGTGTTTTTTCGTTTATGACGTCATTATGTGTTTTAGAAAGGTGTAATATTTTATGTATTGAGACTGTCATGCCCGTCTGTGTACATTATCTATAACGTGTTCGAGATTATTACACAAAGGAAATATAGTGTATTTTTCTTGAAGTAAGTTATCTGTTATATTTGTAACTATTTCACCTGTTACTGGATCGCAGAAAATTCTTTATACGTATTACAGAAGAAATTCATAATTTGTGAAAGTACTAGTTGATTTTAATGAAATTACATCTAGCTGTTGAATCAAGCGAGACTCGCGGACACGCGCACTGTGTGCTTGATCCCATCTCCATATACCCTCACGACCATTACAATAAATTATAGATTCCGTAATAACTGTTGCATAATATACACGCAGTTCAAGAAAGTTTCGCTACAACCTATGACGCACTGCAACGTGTTGAGCGCATTACAAATATTATATAGGGTACTTTCAAAATTGTACAAACTGTTGTCGACATCGTTACTTACCCTCCGTGTAGAAATCATCGTCTGACTTTTCTTCCTTCAAGCTTTTTTCTTTTTTTTTTACGCGTGAAGCCATCGTTTCGTACGGGTTTCGTTAAACAGCGCATATGTTGAGACATTTCCTTCGTGTTACAATTGATAAGAAACATGTCTATTTATTTTTATCGAACTTCAAACTTGTGATCGACGAGTAAAATTATTATGATAGCTGCGTTTCCAGGAAATAAATGAGAATTTAATTTAATTGCATTAAGTGCATTTTGATCAATTTCACGTGTCTCAGCTATATTATATATATATTTAATATATTAGCTATAAATGTTATATTTAACCCTGATGTTATATATCTAATTCGTGGACGTGCGTACATCTATTGCCTACACCTAGGTAATATAATTATTAATAATTATATACCTCTAGGTAACGTTCAGTCTAATCGAAGTTATCCTACTTGGCAGTATTTGAATTCAAACATCTCGAATTTTCTTCTTATGTCTTCTGCAAACGATTTATCGATGAATAAGGCAGCGTTAGATTAATGATAGAATAAGAATGTCAGAACGAAAGATGAATTTGTTACTTTGATGTTTATGATAAATTGCAGTGTTATTTTTTTCAGTGATTTTCAGGAATAAATGCTTCTTCAATACACACGGAGATGTGATTTCACAGTTATCTAGATCTACTCTGATCTGCTAATTTATGTGTATGCACAACATGTGTTTCCATTATGCGTGCGTGCGTATGTGCACATGTATGGCAATTTACAATATTGTACATTTCATAAGGTTGTAATTTTACCAAGCTTGACTTCTCCCTATTTCGCGTCAAGATTTTACTCAATATATAAACTAAATAAGAATATAGAAATTTGTATGTCATCTCGAGTACCTGCTCTTCTCGCGACGACCCGGCGCGTCACGATGTCTTTATTGAAAGGATTTAAGAACGCCATTCTAGATTTTTCAAATATGTTTACTGTTAAATTGACATGAGATTTCGCATAGTTATCTTTTTTTTATATTACGTTTGATAAAGTGCGGTCACCTACTTTGTGCCCGCGTGTTCCTCATTTCCGAAATTAACTCTTGCACTTTGGTTTTTGAGAGAACCAGCAAGCCGCATATAAAATCCTACGTCCTAGTGCTATGCAGAATTGAAGCTTGGTAAGATCCCGAACGCAAAGGCCGATGGTCTCTACTGGACTTAACTAAAAAATAAAAGGTCGCGGAAGTTTTACTTTTTGTATGCGATTAAAATTTATCCCGCGGAATTTACTCAACACTCAACATCTTTCGTAGCTCTAGCTCCAACATTATATATATAACATATACATATATATATATATATATATATATATTGTTTTATAAACATTTGCAAAAACATGCTTTGAACCTCCTTTCGAGCGAGTCAACAAGCAAATAGGATTGTCGTAAACGATCATCGTCATTTCTCTCTGGTTCGGTATAAATACACTCAGAAAATGAAATTTAACAAATTAAACTCTTGCGCAACGTACATAACTAACAGGCTGCCAGACGATTCGTACGCTTGCCGAGCATTCGCCAAGTTGAACGCTACTACGCCGTGTTTCTTTCCCATTAGAAGTCGCGTGACGTCGACAGTCATTGGCAACGGAAATGAAACGCAGTACGACCGTACGCGCCGAACATCCGGCAGACTTGCAAACAAATCGTCCCGCAGCCGATATTAAGTTAGTAAAAAAATCTCTCTATGTATAACGTCGTTTAGAACGAATATATAAGTTAATTGTCATGTAAAACTTATTTATGTAGTCAACCTCGGCATTAAACAACCATGGCACTCGAGGCCATCGTGTTGAGCCCGCAAGTGCCGTCTCCGCGGTAAACTCTGTAGTATCCTTGCTCGCCCCATCTCTCTCCCCAGCTGTTCTTCACGATCCAATACGGCAGTTTCTTATGGAAAAGCGGAAAATCTGAAAGGAGAGCGTTCAGTCAGCGTTTTCTCTCCAGAGAGTTTCATCGAGAAGAAAGTATTCGACTTTCGAGACAAATTCGAATTACATCAATTGGTCATAGTTGCGCAAAAAGGATTCGACTCACATGGAGTAAGTTTCGAGAAAAATGAAGATGAAAATTTTATGCACGACTTAAAAAGTATAAATAGCACCGAAATTCTTTATAATCATTCAAGAAATCGAACATAGTCCATTTTCTTCTCTTTAAGGCTCCTCCAGGCCGATTCGGTCATTTTTAATGATTTGTCGTTATCGTTACGGTGTCGTTGCGCAGCTTTTTTGCCATATGTTATACTTGCGCAACGACGACATAACGATAACGACACTATCGTAAAAAATTACAGAATTGGCCTACTGAGTAGTCACTGTCTTTGTTTAATGCTATCGGAGGCGAGAAAATGTATGTCAAGGATTTTTGTGTTATGTTCAAATAAAGGTATATTCACAAAATGACATTTGTGATCGATTCAACACACTTATAAAATTGGACAAACACTTTCCTTTTACTCGAACAATCAGTAAATAATCGTAAAATTAACATTGACAAAATTATGAGCAAAAAATTAGAAAAGGAAATTCCGGGTCAAGTGTTACGGGTCAGGTATTACGTCATTACGCATGGCATCATTAAACAAAGACAGTCGCAGCGACTATCAAAGAGCCTTAAAAACATTCATTGACAAAGCCTTAAAAAAATAAATAAATAAATAAAAAAAACGCAAATGGTAAAAAGTAGCACAACAGTAGAAAATAAAAACTGTTTTTTAATTAATTTTAGGCGTCCATAAGGCTTAGATATTTTTGTTTTACGTAGGAAGACGCTATTCGTTGGTAACAAAATCTAAAAAATCATAATTTTCTGGCCTTTTTTGCATAACTATAGCCAACTGAGAAATCACTCGAGTATCTCTCTCAGAGAAGCGGTGCCGGTGCACGGATACTCACTGCTCGTGCCGTATCCGACGATCAGCACGCCGTGGTCTAGGTTCTTAGGGTTGCAGAGGAACTTGAAGGGGTGGGACACCCCGCCGATATAAAACTGCATGGCGTTGGCGTTGATTCCGATGGATATCGGCCCGTTCGCCACCAGCCACTGCGCCATTTGCGTCTCGTTCGACGTGATGTTCACCGCCGAGGCCAACTGCACCTTGGCCATGTTCCTCTTGAAGTGGCACTTCTCGTCCTCCGCTTCGTACGGGTAATCCGACTCCAGCTCGAGGCCGCCCAGCTTCTCGATCGCCCTGTAAGCGTTGTCCGGCAAACCGCCGTTGCAGCCCTCGTCCAGGTCGTCGCAATCCACCAGCTCCTGCTCCGACAACGACAGCAGCTGGCTGTGCTTGATGGCGTATTGGCCTTCAACGTTGCCCGTCACCGAGAAAGCCCAGCACGAGCCGCACGCGCCCTGATTCTTCACCGGCGTAACGACGCCTTTCTCGCGCCAGTCGAAGCTGGCTGGCAGCTCCACGTCTGGGATCTCTGCCTGCGGCAGAGGAATGTTGTTCTCCGCGTGCAGGTCGGGTCGCAGACCCAAGTAGAGCGCGCGAAACTCCTCGGTCGATACGTCGGCGAACTGGTTGATGCCGTATTGCCCGCTGCCCTGCTCGTTCCTGCGCAGCAGACGTACGATACCGAGGTTCTCGCGGAATATAGTGAGCCGGAGGTTCTTCTCCTCCTCCGTGGGGTACGTCCGATTGTACGTGGTCATGAAGCTCCGGAACAACCGTTCGCTCCTCATGTCCTCCGCGATACGCAGCATCTTCTCGTTGTAATTAGCGCCGCGCAGCGACCGTTTCCTCCTGTGGCTCTCCTGCGGCGGCGGACACTGCACCGTTATCGACTCGTCGTTGAGCCACGGCCGTGACCATATCGTTATCAAGCAATCCTTCACCTCGCTTCCAGCCTGCAACTGGCAGTTGCCTTTGGTGCCCTTCAGGCAGTCGCTGGTGCCCATCCTGGTCTTGATCTTGTAGAGTGTGCCGGCGACTACCTGGCGGGTCGCTTCTACGATCTCCACTATGATCGGCTCGTTCGGGCTGTCCGACTCCTGTGATACTTTGCGCAACGCTTTCTCGGTGTAATGTTGGATATCAGGGTCGTTGATTGCGATCACCGAGGGCGCGCCTACCAGCCTTCTTTCCGTGGATCGTTTCTGTCTGTTGACGACGTTCCGATCGGTCGCCTTCTCGATCATGAAGTTCTCCGCCGGCACCTTCTTCCGTTGGAACTCTTCCTCCTTCACCGGATCGCGCGTGTCCGGGGTCGCGTGTCCCAGCTTCACCGGTATGTCGAAGTCCTCCAAGAATTCGCCGTATTCCTTCATCTTGTCGGAGAAGCCCTCGCTCTTCTCGTCGTCCTGGCTGCGGTTCAACAGCACCTTCATCATCGTCGGCTCCGTCACCGCGATTTCCTTCGGCTCCGAGCTCGTCTCCGACGGTGTCGGCGCGTGAGTGTAATTGTCCAGTATCTCCTTCAGCCCTTCGTAGGCGTCCTTCGACGGTTGTCCTTCGTCGTATTTGATCGTTACCTGCGACAGACTCTCCAAGTCCGGCTGCTGGGACGGGCTGGACGTGTTCTCCGAGCTCGTGCAGTTGTTCTTGGTGATCTTCAGGCCTGTCTGTTGCCATGGCTGTTGCTCGAACGTGACGAGACACAGTCTCACCGGGGCGTCCGCCTGTAACGGACACTGGTCTTGCTCCAAGGCGTTCTTCAGACACTCGGACTCGCCGATCAGCAGCAGCAGCTGATACTGTATCACGTTGGACGAGACCGGTACCGAGCGGGTGACTTTCACGATCTTGATCAACTTGTGCTTGTAGTCGCCCGTAGGCTGCTCGTCCATCGATTTCAGCGCCTGCTTCGAGAACGGCAAGAGACCCATCAGCTGCGGGTTCAGCTCGTACGGGCAGCCCGGACAGTAACCGGTGCTGGGGGCGCGCATGGCGATGAACGGCCTGACGTTCTCGTCGCCGGTCAACTGAACCTCGTGGCGCAGCTCGACGCTTCGGTTGCTGCTTATCTGCTCGGCCAGACTCTCCGTCACCTGAGAATCATCCTGCTCCTGGTAGCTCGTGCCTTGATCACCCTGCTGCTCCTGCGACACCTCATTCTGCGCGTCAGCCGGGTAGAAGTACATGCACTGGATGGAGTCGTTCAACGTCTCTATCTCGCCGTTCTCGTCTTGCTTCAGATCGATGGTGCAGGCTTCCTTGGGACACGGACTCCCGGAGATCGAAGATTCGACTCCACACATCGGACTCAGGTTATACGTGAACTTGTATACCTTATAAGGCGGCTCCACCTGCAGCATTAACGGTGACGGGACAGTCAATCAAGGCTAATGAGTCTCAGAATGTCGTAATACGAAATAGAGTATAACGTGTTCCACAAAGACAGTAATTCACTGCGCAATAACATTTCCACATATTTTTCCAGCTGACTAGTACAACTTGACCCGATAACCCAGAACGTTGTTATCACGGTTTATCATCATTCCGGATAAATACGCAAAAACATACATACGTATGCTAACACGTGAAAATAGAGCATTATACATTTATATGCGCACTTCTGTATCAAGAACAGTGGCATAAATGAAATATAATACTATCTTATCCGACTCTTCACAGGGAGATTTGTTAAAATTATACATTAATTACTTTCGAGAGGATAAAACCACACAGATTTGCGAAAGCTTAATTCTTACTGTTGGAGCATCAAAGAATGCATTGCACATCTTCCCAAGCTAGCAATTCATTATAGTTGTATGCCTTGATTTAACTCTCAGATAACTGCCTCCAAATAAAATAGAGACTGCTAATTTTGACACAATTAGTTTCTGATAAATAAATCATTTTCTTGTTTAGCTTTCTTAATGTATCTATTTTTAACATCGTTTACAGAAGAAATTACACACTGTCTGCTAACGAAAAACTCCTTTTCATCATATTAATTCTACCTGCAACCTATCTCTCCCATTCGTAATCTCATACATCAGCCTGTAATAATAACTCTAAAATATATTCTAATTATTGTTGACGAGAAAGATTTATAACTTCCTTCTACTTTCTCCTGCTAATAATCTCCCAATAAACACCAATTAATAGTAACATTACATCAATTTTACAACTCAATAATGTAAGTGCAATGTAACATGCGTTTTATATGTAAGTTACATTGTTGAGTGGGAAATTATATAACATTGTTGTAATATGTTACTGTTAGTACTTCCTCTTATTAGGGTAATTCCTCTTTCCTCGTATCACATAAAAGATTACACATTGTTCATTCAACACTCAAGAGGGATTTATGTAAGAACATAATGTACAGACATACGTGATATTTGCAATTCAATTTTCGCGCTGATATGCAACGGCAAACGAAATAATTCGCTTATCTCCCAAATCTTATCTGAGTCGTATTTTTATCTCCGCGACGTTGTTACTATTCAATGTATCTCCCGGAAAAAGAATAACAAAACACGCATGTGGCGAATAATCGGCGCGCCGCATACTTATCGTTCATCACATCTGAAAACAAATAAAATCACTTCTCGCTGTTGAGGAAGCGATCCGTTGATCCAAACAAAGAAAGATGATCATATACGTGAGCTGTCAGAGCGAACAAAGGAGAAACGCGACAGAGAGAACGGGGCACACGTTCGAGGACACAGCGAGATCGATGCACTCGACGCGACGTATGATCGTAATTACCGTGAAAATTTCGCAATTCTTCGGGCTGGTAACTCACCAATTCCTGTGCATTTATCAGGTTGCCTTGCGCGTAAAGGTGATGCGTCGGCGAGTGCTCGTTCAGGGCTCTCCACGCCCTCTCCCACAGTGTCAACGGCACTTGGTTCACCGGGATATTCACGGGGTTGGATTGTGCCCGTGCCATCAACAAACAGCTCAAATAAATGAACGCGAGGTAGCCCGCTGCGCGTTGATTTCGTGCTGCCATTTTGAGGAACGCGCGATGTCGCGCTCCTTCCCGTCCGACTACTCTCGATCAACTGAATGTCGCCGCAATTGACGCGCTCGGTGACCGATCTCTCTCTCTCTCTCTCTCGCCCTTCTGTCTCTTTCAGTCGCTCCGTTACACTCCCTGCACCTGTAATGCGACGGATATATACACTGGAGAATTTCCGCGAGAAGAGGGAGTGAGAAAGTGAGAAACGTCGTTGAGACGTGTACGGAAGGAACGGAGCGAGCGCGATAATCATACGATGAAGATTCGTGAATTTCAGTCGCACTTTCTACATATATCGACATATTTCTTCATATTTCTGCATATTTCTATATATATCGACCTGTCTATTGAGAATGCGATATTTCTCTACTCGGATTTTGGAGCGAGGAGGAGAGATCTCGAGATAAAGTGCGGAAAGTGTAACTGAGTGTGCGGGCCGAACGTCGCTTACGTATTGAGGTCAATATTTGTGCGACAAGTTCACGCCGTACAGATCAATGTTTATAAAAATATGCGTTTGAAAATACCCGCCGATTATAATGGTCAGATAACGTTCGAAATTGATAGCACTTGTTCGGATTAAAAGCATTCGCACGGACGTGCTGAAGTGCGTTACACTTTTCGTCACGAGATGCGACGTTGGACATTTATTCGCGCTGATAACCGTCACGGACAAAATTGCCGTTGGCGATAAAAGTTCAATGAATGTCTTCAGGTAGCTAAATATCGTCTCCGTATACGGTGCGGAGACGGTAAACCAAGACGCTGACTCGCGAATGCTAATCACAAATTGCGTGTTACGCGCAAAGTGAATGGAAACAGGCGCGTTTATCCAATTATGTCAGACTCAGCGTTATCAAACAATTGACAAACCTGCATGATACGGGGAAAAACTGAATTCCGACGTACGCGCTGAAGCCATGTTTAATAACATCCACTTTTGACGCGACATTTTCCTCTTCCTCTTTTTTCAGTGAAAAATATCTTCTTCAAAGCGACCCTGATGCGTTTATATCCCAGATCCCGGATGGCGCAAAATCAGGACACAAAACGTCTTTAAGACGTCTGTATCATAAGGAATAAAGATGACGTCAGCATTGTCTGTACAGTTGATGAAATTAGTTGGAAAGATCATGACGAATTTCCGATGGAAATTCCTTCGCAGCGTTCTACGCTTCTGATTCGTTTCTTCAAAAGAAGTTCGATAGTGGCTTTTAATAAAAATTCTTTGTCGTCCGCGTTTCTTATATTTTACTTCTCCGAAGTGCGAGCCTTTCTGGATGTACGTAGTTATATCGCTTTACGTAAGCAAAATATAGGGAACTACGTGCAACGTGATTATTATCGCGTTTGCACCAACACGAAACCACCGTTAAGAAGATAGCGCGTTTTATTAGACTTCTTCACTGCTGAAAATAAAAATTCGTCGTCAGTTCTGTGTAACATACATCATCAATTGTTAGAACGTATTAGTCATCTGGAATATAAGCGAATAAACGAAACAGTGCCATGATTATCTGCTGTGAACTAATTGCCGATATTATTGCAACATATTTTACTACGACGGAGTTTACGACAAAATCCAATAACGCGATTATTATACACAAAAATATATATAGCACATGTACAATACATCCTTTGATTAAAAAATTAATAATTACAATTATTCAATAATAAACATCGAACTTTATCATTTTCTGACGAGATCATTATCAATTTTATTAATGTAAAATCACAGGTAAAATATCGCGTACTTACAATTCCCAGTAAACACCAATTAACAGTAACATTACAACAATGTTATATAATTGTCTTCTCAACAATATACTGTTATATACAACGTATGTTATATTATAGTTACATTGTTGAATGAGAAATTAGAACATTGTGATATAATGTAACTGTTGATTTATATTCATTGGGTTATTTCAAATAAGCCTTCATTAGATATATACAATTGATTTACCGTTAATTAATAAAACAGAATTTGTTAAAAGTTCCTATGATTGACGGAAGATGGAACCACACAACACACAAGCGACATAACCTAACGAACCTTCAATGAATTTTACTGCTTCAGTTCTGTTCTTTTCAACTACATTCATACTGTGCAGGGACATCGTTTCTCTTTCCCTCCATTTATATTTGTTTCGCTTTAAAGATAAAAAGTACAATTTAACTCAGCTGAAAAGCAAGATAGAAGAAACATTTGCTGTGCACTAAACTTGCGCACGCATGTGTATATCACAGCTCACGTGATTAATCTCGACTCGTGTTTTAATTTCTCACTCCAGAGCACATACATAGTTATATTTGTTTGAAGATGAAGCTGGACACGGAGGACACGGAGGTGGAAGTTACCGAATCGGTGGACGATGCCAAATCTACAGGAAATGCAGGATGGGCGGACGTTATGCAAAAAATTCTACGAACAAAGAAGTCAAAGAAGAAGACAGTGGTTTTAGCTAAGGCTAAGAAGTTGTGTGATGTGAAAGAAACGGAAAAGGAAAAAGAGATCACCTTTGAAATTGATGGTGTTGAGGATGAAGATTTGGAGAAAATAAATAATAAAGTAGAGCCTACTACACAGATTAAATCAAAGAGAAAAGAGAAAAGTCTCGGCATCAGGGTAAAACCAAGCATTACAGATCGAGAACATGAACGAATGCTGCAAAAAATTGCTACAAGGTTAAGTTTTAATTGTACACTTTCCCACCTATCTTATAATCTGTGAGCAGATTTTCATTGTTACATTTTACAGAGGAGTTGTACAACTGTTTAATGCGGTGAGACAGCAGCAAACAGTTATCAGTAAGAAACTGTCCCAAGCAGGCCCATTAGAAAGGAAGCGTGAGCAAGTACTGAAAAATATTGACAAAAATGCTTTCCTTGATATCCTGATGGGTAAATCTGAGAGCATATCAGTTAAATCCGTAGAAAATAAGGACAAAGTGAGTAAAGTATTCAGCAAACTGGATCAATCGCAGAAATCGATATTAATATTGTTTAATATTTTTATGCATTTGGGGAATATTGTTCATTTATTTCCTTTAGCAGAATATTTGAAAGTAGAATATTTCTTATAATAAGCATTAATATTATAATATATACATCATAAATTTCATGATACATTTATGAAGGCCACGTGTACTCCTGTTTATTGAAATACATATCTTTTTTACATTATAATATACAATTGTGCATAACAATGAAAACGCTTTTTTGGTTCAAGGATGACAAAATGTGGGGCGTTCTCAGAGATGATTTCGTCATGGGTGCTAAGTTGAAAGACTGGGATAAGAAAAATACAGAAGAGGAAGAGGAAGATTCCTCAGCTCCTGAGGATATGGATAGTGATGATTGATGAAAATTACAGGCATGGGAGCGATTCACTTTTTTCACTTTTTTTCACTTATTTCAAAACATTTCACTTTTTCTTATTTTTAATAAAAAAAAACTCACTTTTTTCACTTTTTGCTGATTCGATTTGAACCTTAAAAAAAAAACTAGATCACAAAAAATCATGTTCAATAGCTAACTTTTTAAAAATATAACAAAAGATTCAAGTATAACCTGACTCAAGTATAATTTTATTCCATTAAATGTGTTTGGAAAAAAAACAGAATTGTTTTATAAAGAGTTTTATTGTATTTGAATATCTAAGATTGAGTTTAAAGTAAATTTTAAGTTCTATGTATCATGCAACTTTTTCATTTCCTAAAATCCAAATACTGCTTTTTATTGACTTTAAACAATATAATTTTGAACATACAAATTATTTAGGAAAAACTCACTTTTACTCATTCTCCTTTTAAAGTTAATCATTATATCTTACTTTTTCAAAAGTAAAATTTTACTTTCTTCTCTTCTTTTTACAGTTAAATTGCTCCCACGCCTCAAATCGAGATATTCCTCATGTATATATAAATCTTTTTTCTATAAACTGGAAATAGTCAACGATAATAATTTTTAAATGAAAATTTTGCCATTTGACCATTATACAGGGCCTGACTGTAGACTCAAAAATTTTACTTTCACTTACGAGAACCATTTTCAAAAAATAAGCCAGTGCATCTGCAAGTGTTCACCAAATTTCATTTTATAGTCATTTTATAGTCAATTTTTTGCAATATAAGCAATGTCATCGCCTATAGTCATAAATAAAGATGTAACTATAGATTATATATATATTTATTGATAGTCTTTTTGGAATAAATTTATAAATATAATGAGTTAAAAATTACAAGTTATATCAATTTATTAACTTGTGCACTTATATAGTACAACTGGTTTTGCCTTCCACTTTTTATGGTCGAGAGAGTAAAAGAAGTATCTGTTATAATTATAATAATATATATACAATTTAAACTACACACACATACATATATATATAAAACTATAATCGTTGAGAAAGGATTGATATCGTTCATATTTGAGGATATTTTTCCTACAGAACGAGAGACTCGTACCTTTGCCCATGAAATGGATTCTTATCGTTTTGTTTTATCGTTTTGCATATCGTAATTATAGATTCCAAAAAAGAGAAAGAAAAATTTGGTCGAAATAATCAGCCGTCGTGAAATAAAAATCCTGTTATTTATATTCTTTTTTCATCTAGCAATCTAAAAACTAGGAAGGCACACATTATTATACTTCACGCAGCATTTTATTCTCTTGGTATCTCTCGTTGATGATTCCTCCGTACGATACACGGTAACAGTGATAACGTGTACAACTTATAGTTCTCTCTATAATTATCGTACACATATAATGTGTATACAAGAAGTATATCTAAAGCCAACTGTTAGCTCGTTCTGTTTTTTGGTATATATGTGGTTCGATTTAACGTTTTGATACTTCGCTGTATCTGATTATTCAACTTTAACACACATCACACTTTGCTTCTTGAAACAATCTCTTAACATGTTATACCTTCTCTCTCTCTCTCTCTCTCTCTCTCTCTCTCTCTCTCTCTTTATACATACATATTTAACTTTTTCCTTTAACATTTTGCATAAATCTAATCAACTTTATTTTCCTTAACCATAGTTTCGCGTTATTTCAACCTCATCACTTTTGGCGAACACTAAAATCGTTCGATGCATTCACAGTGGATAATACCACTTAAGTTGCGAGGATATAGTGCTTTCTAAATAATAGAAAAAGCAAACGTATAACAATACCAGTTAACGGCCCTGCGCTTAACTTATGTATAAAATATCGAAGAGAAACGAGCCACTAATCAGAATTAAATCGCTGCTCGAAACGTGTATTTAAATCGATGCTCGTGAAACTTAAGTGCACTCGTTAAAGTCTGGACGGACTTAACTAACTTCGCTGTGATTCTTGTGCTAGGTTTAAATATAACTGTTCGCATCTATCAATACGAAAGCATCTCTAAATTGCGTAGACGTTTCATTGTCGGTCAGAAAGGTGATCAACATTCGCGCAGGTTTACTCTTTTACTATATAATGCAATTTATCGTATGATACTCATCAATGTTTTTTTTTCGATCTATATTGATTTATAAGTGAATAACAACTGTTCAATATATTTCGTCGAGCTTGTCCTGACTTACTATTTGATCGCCACACGTGAAATTTTCTTTCGAATTCCTGTCAAAAAATCCTTCCACAGAGGATAATCATTTTCCAGAGATACACCGTGTGTGTGTGTGTATATATGTGTACGTGGCGTGTGTGAGGATTTTTACTACATTGTCACGTACAATTATTATATTGTCACATATACAGTTAAAAACATTGTCACATAATGTTTTTTGCATAATACAATATTTATCTTGACTTCGTCTTTCACTTTTTAACCCCAGAATTTTTAGTTTGCTCCTAAATGTGTTCGGAATATTTTAGTAACTTCTCGTGGAAATTTGTCGCAAGGCAATTTCCACTCGTCATCTGATTTTCGTGCAAGTCTTACTTGTCGTGCGAGACGTGCGTATAACGTTTATGAAATCCGTACTGATATATAAAGAGAGAGGGCTCCTCTTTCGCAAGGAGCAAAGGGAATCTCACCATTTCTCACAAATGTAGACACACATTATAATTATTTGCCTCAAAAGTATCTAACGAAGAAAATGAAAATGTTTTGGCAGATTCTTTTTGTGCACGATTTGGTTATTTGTGAGAATTGGGGAAAATTCTCCTGCGCCTTCAGGCCCGACAAAATTCATCCTGAGCCCTCGTCAAGCTTTAAAACATTGCGCGCATACTTAAGTCCGTATTACACTCTGCTCTCGCGAATATCAGCGAGGGCACCGAAGTTACCAGCTTCTTCATCGAGATACTGAACCCCCTCGGCTTCGCCTTGATTCCTGTCCTCGTCCCCCAAACGCCTGTTTCTAGCGAAGTACCTGGGGTCGCCGTCAACGACGTTACGGTTCACCTCGTCCTGCACCTGGGCGTGATCCAAACGCGGATTTCTAACGTTCTGATCGTCACGGTACAATCGAGGCCGCTGATCTTCGTCGAGATGTCTGTCTGCAACCTCGACCTCCTCGGGGTCGGGCAACCTGACGAAGGCGGAGGCAGCCTGGTGTTGATCCACCTCGCGGCTCAACGAATTCCTGCGGCTGTCTTGGCTCAGCCTGGAGACGCTTCGAGCGCGGTTTCTCGTGTTCATCAGCTCGTTGCCGGCATTCCTGGCGACTTGGTGCTCCACAGTCGGTTGTCGCCTCTCGTTGTTCCGACTGGCGTGCCGCAGGTTCTCGTTCTCATCGACGGACATGCGGAACGACATCTCGTCGTGAGACGTGTGGAAGGATTCGAGATTCACGTTGCTCGACACTCCCGGCATCGTCTCCCGGCTGAGCCGGTAAACGCCCAGCTCGTTGTCCACGTAATAGTTGTCCAAGGGATTGCTGATGATGGATGGATTGCGTGAGACGTTCCGTCGAGGGTAGCTTTGCAGGCTGGACAGGCTCGTCACGGTGGCGTAAGGATGATACGGCATCGAGTTCAACGGGTTGCCGACGATGTGCGGGCAGTTCTCTAGACTCTGCATTTCGATCTCTTCCTTGCCGTCGCGGCAATAGCCGTGCATATCGATCTCGTGCGGCAGATTTGCAAATCTGTGACATGAGTGAAATTCAACGTCAGACAAAAATTGTCGGGAGACACGTGTTCCTTCATGAAGATCAATTCAAGAATATGGGACTTGCGAAGGAAAATGATGTACCTGTGCAAGAGAATGTCGGAGTAAGAGGGAGGCATATCCGTTTCTTCTTTGCCGTAAATGCTCTCGTAGGTAGGCGGAGGGAAGCATCCGATGGATCCTAAGCTATCCTTGCTGGGTGTCTCGGCATCCATCTCAATGCTACCTTGGCTACTCTGTAGCTGGTGACGATTCACACTTCGTGGATTCCTTTGCGCGCGCAGCACGCTGTCACCCAGTTCCACCAAGTCCAAACCTGTCAGAAAATAAATCTTGTCTTGTATATTTGAAAAAAACACAGAAATTTTTCAGTCAAAATTCTATGTAAACAAAAAAATTAAAAATAAAAACAAATAGAAAAATAAAAACTTTTCAATAGAATAGTAACTACGCAGAGAAAAAAATTTCGTTAGATTTAATATACTTGTTTGTTTGATTTGGGTTTGTTTAATATAAATAATATAATTTAATAATAGATATAATTTTGTTCAAATAAAAATATTATTTCACTAAAGTAAACCATGTTGTTCGATAGAAAAATAATATTATTTTGAGGAAATATTTGGTTTTCAATAAAAATATTTATTTCATTGCATATTAAGTACTGTTTCACTGAAACAAAGAAATTCTTTAATATTTTTCTAACATAAAGAATGTTACTACTTTCACATAATTTATTGCTTGTGACAACCATCATAATGTTTGAATGAAAATACAAAAGAAATATATAATGTTATTTAATGTAAAAAGATATTTATTGTTTGAGATCCCAAGCGATTCTGTTTGTTGAATCAAACATTCGTTTGCTGGCTCCATTCCAAAAGACAAATTTGTTTCAAGAAACTTCAAATTAAATCCAAAGAAATCTTTTTCTCCAGGTATCTGGTTCTAAAAAATTTGAAAAATTTTACCTGTGGGATCGGTTTGGAACTGCGTGAAGATCGTGCCGTCGACGACTAACATCCTGCCGTGCGGCAAGAGGATAATGGTCGGCGTCGCCACCATGGCCTGGTCGCTGCCGCCGAATCGTGAGTCCGGCTCGGGATCTTCCAGGCGACAGCAGCAATGTCGTCTGCACAAGGAGCGGCAGAACGGTGCGCCCCAGCAGCAATAAGCGAAGATGAAGCAGAGGACGGCGAGCATCACCAGAAGGGCGGCCACCCCTTGGCCTTGTTGGGCGGCCGCGAGGGTCGGTCCACCAGCGACGCCCACGCCAACACCGAACCCACCGCTGCTACTCATTTCGCCTACGATCGTTTAATTATTCATTAGTACAAGCAATAGACAGCGATTAGTTATCCTTTGCCCTCACCGACTGTCTATAATGCTTTTGAAAATGGAAGTGGTATCCGCGAGATGTGTCGGACCTAACGAGCTACTTTTCACCTTTCAACTTTCACACATATAGGCACATGTATACGAGGAAGATTTCATAATTAATTCCGGTGACCGAAGTATAATTTGCCGAAAACCTTGTATTCTTAATTATTTACAGATTATTGATCGAGCAGGAAGTCCAAACTGATTGAAATGTATCTCAAGCTTCTCAACATATTCTCAGCGCAATATTCTTTAATTAATCTCTATTATTTTGTCACTTTAAATTAAAGACAGTGAAGAACCGCTCGTTAATTTGTTCAAATGATCAATTGTCATAATGAGCGGCAGTGTGAAATAGAACAGAATAGAATCAGTGCTGTAGGATAAATCCTGTAAGAGCGACAAACGGTATAATATAACATAACATGTAAATGTACGGCATGTAGGTATAAATAGTTAGATAAATAGATAGTAGATATAAACAGTATAGCAGCATATAATTTGATCGATCATGTTTCGAGATAAATTTGGTGTTTCGTGAATTCGCTCCATATATTAAATTTTTACGTTTATCCGTAAAACTTACTTCCTGCCTGGTATAAAGTCTATGAATAATAATGAGTCTTACGTAAACGCAGGTGGTAACACTGTCACGAGTGGGCTCTCTCTTATGCTAATAGACCGAATTTCATAGTTTTTTGTCCTGGTCGAACGATGGACACATGGTGAAAGTGACGTATTATGCGCCAGTCGTAATATATTACACCATTGCCGGCGAGAGTAGGGCAGGCATTGGACAGTCGATCAATCGCGCGCTCGCGTGTAAAGAAGTTTAACAACAATCGCCTAATCTCCACGAGCGGCGGCGCCCCGATTAAAGATATCGCTGGAAAAAACGTAAAAGCACGCTGATAAGAACGGTCTTGAGAAGCCTGGGAAAGTGATGTTGCCAGCAAAGTTGTACTGCCGTTCGATCATAACTTGCGACAACTTGCGGAATTAATTCGCGAAGCTTTATTATTTATAATAAGAGAGCTGTGCATATCGCGCAATATCGTCGTTGCGTGGCGTGGCGTATAAATTTCTCCTCAATTAAAAGCGACGAAAACATATTAGGAGACTCATTAGAAATATTCGAGCCGTTAATTCCGCGGTAACATTTAACAGTGTATTGCGGTCTAATAATATGTTCGCTCTCGTTCAATAATACAGCCTCGTTATACACCATCGAAGATGCGGAGCGAGCTATAATAATAACAAATTGCGTAGGAAGTTTTAAAAGATCGCGCAATCTAAGTAAACACTCTTATCGGCGTTTCGCTCGGATATCACCGAGAGAGAAATAATAAGTCACTCGCGCGCTTCTCGCGTGAATCTGCGAATTTCGTATGATTAATGAACATGCGTTATAATTATCCCCCGCGGCTAATCTTCTGTTCTTACACGCGCATGCAAGAGAACGAAAAAGGGCATTGTGTTGTTACTTTAGCGAGCTGTGTGACCCATATCTGAAATATCGTTACTTGCTTCGTAATACGTTATATTGATACTCGTATTCCGTGACGTAATATCAGATGATTATTAACGTTATCGCTCGTCATAAAATTTATACGCCGTCCTGGATGTTTTTCTTAATGACCACGAAAATACATCACTGGCATTTTCGAGCGGCGTTTGCATTTACACAACTTTGCCAGCCGTACGAACGTTACACCAAGAAGAGACACGGTAACCGATGCTGTGAACAAGTGTCGTATTATTACTAACGAGATTACAAAATGATATTTTCGTGCTGTGGAAAGAAATACTTAATTATTACTTCGGCTTTCGAGTTAGCGCCGAGTCTCTTATGGATTTCCTTTCAACGTTTCGTGAACATTTCGGTCCACTTCTTCGGAGTGAGGAGCAACTCGAAACTTGCACATGCGGCGCTAACTCGAAGGCCAAATCAAGAAATCACGAGATTATTCGGATTATCATCCGCCGATCGTCCCACGCTTAAGGTGCATTCGTCTCGTGAAAATAATATTCAGTTACCTTGAGTAGTGATATTGTGAAGCCAAGCGATCCCCGTGGTGGTAACTGTCTCCGTGACTCTGCGCGATCCGTAAACCATGAAAATGATTGAGGACTCGTCGAATCTCTCGCGGAAGAGGAGACTATGTCTCCTCGAGAGGAACAGTCACGCGATCACATCGACGTGCGGGCTTCAACATACGGACCGACGACGACGACCGGGTGCGCTCCTGCCGCATGAACGACGGCATCTTCCTTGCGACATATTACGGAGCACGTCGGGCGCATCCAGCACCGGCTGCCGCAGCTACGTAATCAGCTTCGTCGTTCCTCCAGCGCGCCCAAGCTAAATCGCGAATATCAGTTGGTTTTGGGGACATCGACATCGTTTGGTTCCGGGTGAATTTGAATATTAAGATAAAAGTATCAATGCCTGAACACGTATTTAACTCCGAACATTCAAACTTTTAATATAGAATTATTAGAAATATTTGAATATAAAGAGTGTCCTAGCATAAAAAGAACATCTAAATATCTCCTTTATTTTTTATATGATATGAGAAATATAAGCACAATTTGAATGGTTTCGAAGGAGGAATACCATGGAAAGAGAATTTTTTCATTTTTTTCAATTGTTTTTAAAGTTTCCGTATTTAACTCCCCAAAATATTTAGATGTTCTCCTTATCCCGGGATCCTTACTCTTTGTATAAATATTCCACGTATAAAAATTAAACGTTTGTATTTAAAGACCAAAGTAACAAGAATGTCCACGGTTAGGTACGTCTCCAGGCATTGGTATTCTTACCTTGCGCTAATTGTGTGAAACGTGTGACAAAGAGCTAGTGTAATTCGCACGTAAGACTCGAAGTTTCAATACGAACATGATAAGTTGTAGTTAACACACACTTACCTCGATTACACCGTGTTACATATGAACGCGACACAGTGCGCAGTTCGCCGGTTGCAAGAGCGGGCCCTCCTCGATCGAGTTTAATTCGCACGATGACACTCGATATAGCACTCACGCCGATTTCTCGCGATCTATTCGACGCGGAGCGCGTCAAGTGGAAGCTGCCGCATTGCCATCGCCGAGACACTCTTGACCCATTTCTACAATGTCCCCACTTTGTGTATCAACCTGCTGCTCTTCGACTCCGGCGATATCTCTATTTCCCAATCGGGTACGGCACTCGTCGCGACCTCGCTGAAAGGCTCTCTCGTCTCTCTCGCCAACCCCGCAGCCAACGCTTCACAACCCCTTTGAACGCTGCACCATTCTCTTTCTCTTTCTCTCTCTCTCTCTCTCTCTCTCTCTCTCTCTTTCTCTGAGATTTATCTTGATTTATCCCCTTCCGGCATGTCTCACGTATCTTTGCCGCCCTATTTGTCGAGAAGCTCCTCAAGTGAAAAATGCACGACGGATCGGTCGGAAAATACTTTCCTGTCTTATGAACAGGATCTTCTCATATCTGTCAGAGAATGTAAGAGGAATTTTCGAAAAGTTTCGCAAAATCAAGGGAGAAAATGCCCCGAAATTGTCTCATTCTCTCTTTACTTCAGTGAAAAATCTCTTAAAGTTTCTCGCACATCAATTATCGAGAAAAAAGATTTTTCGACTTACTGACTAATTTTTTTTATATTCTTCTCCCCTTCGACTTACTCTCGGTCACTTTTTTCTCTCTCTCCTCTTAAATGTCCGAAACAAGCGCTTTGAAATTAACAGCTTCGTGATAATTTCCTCGGTTATCCTCGGCTCCTCCGAAGAACGCTCTTTGCTTCAAATTTCCGGACTGCTAATCCTTCCTTACTTCTCTCGGAAAACCTCGTTCTTCGTCCGTTGGGAAATTTCGTTGTATTCGCTTTTGTTACGCGCCCTCTTTACATCGAACCATAGACATTGGTCCTTGACGTCATCGACTGCGGGCCAACACGCATCATATTATTTACTGTCGATAAGCCATGCGTTTACCGGCCCATCCTGGGACGCACCCGGAAGATGATGCCAAGGAGCTGCTTCCTCGACACGGAGAACGTCATCGCGACTGACCGATCGATCGCACGCGAGGTATCGCGCTCGACTTCGCACCTTAATTTTTATCGTGTCGCTTTCAACGGGTTAATTTAATTATCCCGCCCTATTTATCAGACAATTCTACGTTGCATCTTGTGGCGCGCTCCTCGGTGTATTTTCGATGCTCTCGTGGGACTTGGCAACCTACGTGATTTATTATTATGTTACTGAACAATTGTGCGCTATCGAACATACTAGCGTATTATTGTGACATGTTAATTATTATTATTAGATGAATATAAGTAATATAATTAACGAACCTTGTTAATTACGAGTTTCTCCACACCCGTTGCATCACTATGGTGCTTTGTATGCATCTGTACTATCATCCGGAAGAATCATTTGGTCCTGGCGTGTAATGAAATTTTATAAATGTTCCAAATGAATCTTCGCTCCGTTTTCCTATGTCCCCCTTTTTGTTCAGGCTTCTTCCTCTTTTGTTCTTTCTTTATAAAATAAGATCCTTATAAATGACGATGAAATGCAATCTTATCCTGTTCGTCGACGAAAGACCCAGCTCGATGACCCAGATGCACTTTTAACGTCACATCCAAGTCGCACTTATCGCGATGAATTTAACCGCACGTCCGCGAACTGTCCACTTCCGACAACCTTCCCTTCTCCTCTTGAAATTCCCCCACCCTATAATTATCCTTGGGCCGAAAAAACGCACCGTTCGCACCTATGTTTCGCGTGCACCGTCTCGAGAGAGCCCCCGTCGCGATTCACGGTCGTCGAGTATCGATTTCACATTTTATATGAGCCTGCCACCCTTTGTTTTCTCCGGCTTCTTTTTAAAAATCTTTCTCCCTCACGGGGCAATATTCCTCGCTCGAGGAACACGCACTAACCCATTTCTGACTCGCGCTCACCCTCCGCGAGCTCGTCGCCGGTGAACATCGATTCCACGTTAGACGCACGCCACAGCGCTCGCAAGGTGTTTCGTATCACAAACTGATAACTGATAGCGTGCAGTTTTATATCTTCCGCGAGTCGATACTGCGACGAAAAATGGATGTCGGTGTCACGACGCGACGTCGGTGGTGAGAGCGACGCCAGACCAATGTGCGGCCAGCCAACCTCCCCCAAGGGCCACCCGAGGGGCGCAGCAACCCCGTCGCAGTCCGCCCCGTTCGTTTCACTGCGCATTCGTCGCCGGTGGTGGACTCGTCGACGTGATTCCACCTTCCTCACTCTCGTCGCACGCGTGTCGGTGCATGTGCCAGAAAAAAAAGAAAGAGACCAGGGGGGTGTACAACCCCGATCTCAGGTGCAGCCTGATGCGAACACGGTCGTATCATCGAGCAAATCGAACACTACAAAATTTTGATGGGAATTGAGTCGACGGGTCTCAAGAACAAAAATATAACGTCAACAACAATGAAATATCTACAAAGTTGGCGCGCTATTCAAGATGCATCTATATATCCGTCTAAATGCGTGTTTCAGCTCGTGTCTACGAATATTGTTCTTGCGCAAAATGTATATGTACGATTTCTGGTAGACTGAGCAACGGCGAGTGCCAAGTTTCAAGATATAAGACGAGCAGGAAGGAAGCGAAAGGTCAGGGCGATCGCGACCACTCTGCGTCGTTACTGCGGACCTACTTTTTCCTACAGCATCGACAGCCAAGCGTCCCGACGACGACACCGGCGTCCATTCGTCTGCGCCGCCGCGACGTGCTGCTCGTCTCACTTGAGACGCAAACACATTCTTTAAAGATCCAAAAGTTCTGGGATCTGATCGAGGAAACTCGGAATCCAAGGACTTTCAGGATGTAAGGAACTCTGGAACTCTGCGGACCCTGGAAAATTCGGTTTGGTAATTCTTGAGGATTTTACCATTAGATAATTGGCTGGAAAGCTCGCAATACAAAGCATAGAAAAATAAATGTTAATCGATGTACCTTTGTGCGTGCGAACTGCGTGGAAATCAATTAATTCGGAATGTTGCGCCGACCAACTACTAAAATGAAAAAGTTGAAAAACAGTTGAATGCAGACGAAGGATTGCTCGTGGCAAAGGCATGTAATAAAGGCAGGTAACCGACTATACAAACACGCTCGTTCGTTTCACATAAAAAGGGGTCAAGCGGATAGCATCGATTTTATTCAAATTCCCGGGTTTTACTTAATAGAGGAGGTATTCATAGAGCCGAGGGCAAACGTTTCGAAAGTTTCGTGCGATCGCGCGTTAATTACGCCGAACAACGAACCTCGGTGTTCCTTCATCATTAAATAATCTGATATCACGTGCATTTAAAGTAATAACAATTCTTTCGGGAAACAATGAAACAGCGAAATGCAAAACGGCAATTTTAATATTTCGAAGGACAAGAACGACTTATCGACCTCGTGACTTGACATTATTTCGAACTTCCGGTAGTGTAATTATATTTAAGGATGATCCATGATGACATAATAGCATAATGCACCCTTGTCATATCGTAGGTCAAGGTTTTTTCAAATTTGTCGCTCTATGAGAGAAGTATTCTGTGGCACTGCTTTAACCAGATTTATTACAACCATATATAATTACCTAAAAATAGATAAACAATATTGTACCGTTTTGCATCCTAGGTTATAGTATGCTAAAAATATTAGGATTAACCCTTTGCACTCCAGTGGTGACTCTCACTCACCATGTCTGGAGTTGCTGGTACGCCGCGCGAAAAAGGCCCGGAGTGCAAAGGGTTAATATTTTGGACTGAAAGTCAACTGTTTGTCAGGTAAAACATCGAGGAGCCAATCTTTCCATATCTGCACTTCTGAACGATTCAACGCATGATCCATATTTTGCAACGGTACGAATTTCACATTTACACCAAGTTTTTCCAGATTTTTTGCAGTTTCTTCACCCCATGCAATAGGAACCAACGTATCTTCTGTGCCGTGACATTGAAGAAGCGGTACTTTACTACTTTCTGGATTCGCTTTTAAATGCTGCAATCATACATATGGAAATTACATGTATATGTATAGAAATTACTATGTAATTAATTATAAAAATAGAACATGTCATCAAACCTTATTAAAAATGACAAAAATTAGTTTTTGTATCTTTTCCAAATTTAACATAAGAATAATATCATAAATTATTGTATAAATATACCTCACATACTAAAGATCCCTTGTTTAAGAAAGAAGACATAGCAAAACAACCTGCTATTCCTGTCTTGTATCTGTACGCTAAGTGAAATGCTAGCGCACCACCCATTGAGAAACCACCTAGAATTATTCTGTTGTAGGGAATGCCATCCGCTACTTCCTTTTCAATCCATTTTGATACAATCTGACACATAGAATCAATTGATTTTACATTCTCTGGTACTTGGTTAGATATTGCCATGCGATCAAACCATACATTCTGCAACTGTAGTAAAATTTTAACATAACACATATTATTTACTCTGATCAACTTTAAATATATATTATATGCATATTTATATTAATTATTTATATCAGTAAGAGTTTCTTTTAAATATTCTATGTTTATAATATCATAATTACAACACTCTACCATTCCATCACTAGGTGTATATGGTTGAGTAGGTGCACTAGGGTAAACTAACTTTATATGTGGGAATTGCAATTCTTCTTTGATAAGGATATTAATCCATTCTTTCATGTCTTCTGCTGTACCACCTGCAAAATAAATTATAATAAAACCTAACAGTGACATTGATACGATAATTGATTCTCCAAGAATTCGCATTGATGTATTCTGAGAGTTTAGTTATATTTTTTGCTTGTTGAAATACTGTTATAGAACTATCACAAAAATGGTATTATCTTACCGGAACCGTGGAAGAAAAACACGGTGGCGGTGTGTCTTTTCGTGGCCTGCACGATATTCGCTTGCGAGATTCTTGCCATGAATGCCATGTTACTAGAACAGCTAATTTAAATATATATTATTCTCTTATCAAGATTATAAAACGGTCTACGACGAGATGTTTTGCAAGTATGCATAAATGATTTTTTATGAAGAGATAGATAATAAAAACAAACGGTCATGAACAACATAGCCTGTATTCCAATATTTACTGCCAGTGCTAAAAATCTACAGTATACGTAACATGAACCATAGACTTTGCAGCGTGACAGTGAATTTTGGAACACAGTTCTAATACATAAAATCGTCAACAGATGACTCTTTATCGTACATTACCGCCCTCTCAGATCAGTTGGTTAAAGAACAGTTCGCAACTAACGGTTCGTATTCAGCGTTCGTACTCATGTGAATTACAGCCAAAAGTAAATTTTGCATGCTGAATGTATAGTACATTTTCTATGTATTAGAATAATTTAGTCATTGCTTTTACGGCAGAGATATTAATTTTAAATAACAACATGTATGCTATTGAAAACACACTGCACTAAAAATATTATCATTTATTCACAGTATTACTCTACCGTATCTGTTATTTAAATTACCAAAGTGTGCAATCTTATATAAATATTCAATTATCTCTCGAAGATTTTGCCTATCAGACATGCGTAGTATTTGAAAAGTAAGGAAAGCATTGTGATTGGTCGGTTCGCATCGCCTCAGCGATTTCAAGAAGCTCAGTCGCCGCCATGTTCGGTTAGTTAAAGAACGGCCCGCGACTAACGGTTGATACTCGACAAGTCGTTCCGTATTTTCCTCGATTTTGGCTCACCGAAGTTGAGCTTCACGCGTAAATTATCGTCGAAAGTATCGAAAATAAGTTTTACGTTTTGGATGTGATAAAATATCACCAGGCAGTCGCTGAAAATGAACACCTCGCGGCCGAGTAAAATATCGCGCGTTCACCAGGTTATGGTTACTCGAAGTTCAAACTGTAATTGTACCGTAAATTTTCGATTTGTTGAAGCCTCGCAAATTATCGTCGTTAATTGTGCCGAAATATTGTGAAAAATCGTCGAAAGTGGATATCTCGCGATACGGGCGTCGGGAGTACTGAGTGAAGTGACGCGCGTTCGATATTTCGAGAATCGCAATTGCTGCGACACAGAGTGAATCTCGAATCGTGGAACGAATCACGTTGCGAGAATTTGAATTTGAAAAGAAGAACTTATCGAGAACTTATCGAGAACGAGTTTCATGCGCCGTTGTTGTCTGAAGTGCCGAAAATAAGTCTCGCGCATTTGTCGTAGCAAAATGTAGTTGAGTGGTCATAGAAAATGAATATCTCGAGTTATCAGCAGTGTCGAATATATTATCGTGCGTTCGTACCAGGATGGCGGTCCGAAGTTCAAATCGGCGTCCCTTAGGCTTCCGATTCGTCAAAAAACAATGTCGCGCGCGAAAGTAAATTTCGCGAGTGTACTGTGATAAAATATCGTTAAACAGCTGCGAAAGGCGAATATCCTGCGGAACGAGCTGTCAGGAGGAGAGAAGTGATCCGCAACCTCGTTGTGGATTTTCGGACTTCAGGTCGTCGCTTCTACGTTTTCGATCCGCGGAGGACAAATCGGTGAGTCGATTGAAATATATATTTATTCCTCGTGTTCCTATCTTGCTTCTCCCATATGAAGGAAAACAAGATAGAATAGAATAACAGATATTCTTTTTGTCGTTAACGGTATCACGACATACTACTGTTTCGTTCGAAGGAAAATAAAAGGCCAGAAAACAATGTCGAAGAAGACGTTGAAAAAAGAGAAATTCGTCGTTTTCATTCTTGCGGAGTTATTCGTCAAAGGTGACGGTTTCATAACGCGACACGTGTGCCTTAACGTCTCCTTATTCCTGCTATTCGTTTTTACGTGATTATAATCAACGACGTAATCCGACAGGTCTGTGTCTTCGGAGCTCATGTCGGTGAATTCACTGTCCCTTGCCGATTTCCTGGAAAATTTTCCACGAATACAATCACGTATAAATTGCAATTTAAAGATTGAGCGTTGTTTCTTGACATTTCGCGAAGTAAACATTTTACTCGAACAATCTTCGGGCGCTTTCCATCTCCGAAGAACTGCCGTAATCCGTCTCGATGTATCGACCCTTCCGAACGGCGGGCGTGTATTTATGATCGTTCCGCAAACGGCATTCACATTTTAACGATAAGCTTTTCATGTTCATGGACGCGACAGAACGCGGAGCATCATCAGCGCTTACAATAACCGGCGACTCGTCCGTCGGCAAATCTTCCTCGAAGTCAGCGTCAGCTTCTGAACTTTTCCCGAGAGATTCGAGAAAGAAATTCCTAAGTAAAATATATCTTTGTGTAATGTTTGCGAAGTTCACTTAACGATATGCGATTTAATCCGGATTCTGAACGTACGACTTACGTCGAGTTTTTGCGAACAATTCGCGCGATGTTCATAGTTTTCGACTCTTGATGACGATCATTCACGTCCAAAGTTTCTTTCCTCGAAATGTTCGAATTCGATTCGCTAGAATTGAATGTTGGAATAAATTATTCACTACGTATTTACTGCATTATGCAGAATATTATTTATAACATTGCTAAAATAACACGTGTGTTTATCGATATGAATTATTTGGCACACGATATATTATTATTGCAACAATAGGATAAAAGCACCAGTGAATGTGAGTTTCACTAAATAATGATTTAAAATTACAATTGTAGTTTAATCAAAAATTAATAGTACATTAATTTTCTTCTTATATTTGAAAAATATTTAATTATATCGTTTCTATATATATATTTATATATTCTATATATATATTCTATATATATATTCTATATATATAATTATATCGTTTCTATATATATATATATATATATATATATATATATATNAGATTTAAAATTACAATTGTAGTTTAATCAAAAATTAATAGTACATTAATATATATATATATATATATATATATATATATATATAATTTTATATATATAATTGGCTAGCGCAGTTATCCTATTATTACGATATCTTACTTGCATATGTGCATTTAATACACTAACTTTTTCTTTTCGTTACAAGCGAGCAATTTCACATCTGCAGCGCTCTTTAATTTATTTCCTACTAGCGATCTTGTACTCTGTATTTTAAATTAATAGGACAAGTATTAATTAATACTGATATCGATATCTTGATCATAGAAATATATAATTATACCGGGTAAACGTGGGATTCTTCATCTGCATGTAAAAAGAAATTAGGCTTCATACGCGGAATTTTGCTAGTCTTATTTCGTGAAACAGACAATCTTGTACTGTCGAGAATTTCGTTGGGATTTTTGTCCTTGCGCAAATTTACCGTCTCTTCACATGTAACTTTGTTCTCAAATTTGTCTTTATTTACGACGCTTTCTGGTTGTTTTAGATTATCTCTCGGCTTCGCCAGTTCTTTCTAAATATTAAACAATTCGTGGTTTTTTTACAATTTGATATATGAATATCAGGTGGTGTTTCTTGATTCGCAGTATAACATCAGAAGTCCAGAAGTAACATTTAATATATTATTAACATTTCGAAAAATACCGGCTCTTTTTTTATTTCGAAGACGTCATAGATTTATATACAAACCTTGATAATTTTCTTCGATCGCATTTTCGATCTGATCCCGATCCCTCTTCTTTTGATTGTTACACTCTTTTTTCCGCAAGTAGAAAAAGAATTTGCCTTTTCATTCGATATTGACGATATGTCGTTTAGACATAGCTCTCGCGTATTATTATCAACTTCCGAACATATGGGAATATCTGGTTGACTAATAGCTGCTTCGTAATCGTAAGACACGCCCGCAGGTTTCATCTTTGCTTCAGGTTTACTTTTCGCAACATTCGTTGAACCAGCCGGCTCTCCACTGATTACATTTTCGCGTGTGCTACGTTGCGATAATGAATTCATCGTGTCTCCAGCATGACTAATGTTACAGCTAAAATCATTTATCTCTTTTACTAATTCTTTTTTAGTCTATATATTTCAACATTGTCCTAGTAAAAGTTTGGTTACAATGGTAGGTGTAATAAGTCAGAGTTTCTAATAATATTAAAATATACCGAATACTCATTTCGATACTGAAAATACTATGCTTATAGTGATACCTAAAAACTATCACTAAAGCATTGTGTAAATTCGAGGATAGAAAGAGAAAATGCAGAGATTTAATCTACGAGGACTCACGTGGAAATTGGCGGTTTGGTAACATCAGGTTGAGCTCGATTTTTAGGTGACTTGCGTATTTTAAGTTTTGAGAGGAGTCTCAATAGCACCTCGGATCGTTTGCGATCGATCTTGCGGCGGTTGTCGCGGCGCGCGCTGATATTTACGCGGTCTGTCTTTTCATCCTGCCTTCTCGCATTTTTCTTTCGCGTCAGCAGAAGCGGCACTAGGTGATTCAACTTGTACCCAAATTGCGGTCGAATGCAAAGCTGTGATTTTCGTAAATTCGCCAGTATCTCGCGCGAATAAGTTCACATCTTTCATCGGAGATGCTTCCACGGATACTTTTGCACGACCAGCTAACCATTAGTTCTCTCGGCGCGATGTCATCGGCTGTTCAATTACCGATCGCGTGTTTCAACATCAATTCGATTATTGAACCTCTTCAATTCGTACACTTTGTATTCCGATATTCACTGTCAGTATTGAAAATCTATAGTTCATGTTATTACGGATTTTCAATATTGGCAATGAATATCGGAACGGAGCTTTTGTTTTAATTTAATCGCTTTCCTTACGGTCATCTCGATGTGTGCATATTTCACAACGATATAACGACGTAGTACAAAATAATTTTACGTATAGAGAGAATCAAAAAAGGAACAAAGAAGGACTAATGCAAGCCCTATTAGAGAACTATTTCTCGATCGATCGCCGCATTAACATAATTTCCCGTTAACTCATTACACACATTTACCTATAACTCCCGTTAACTTATTACACACATTTACCTATAAGATCTTGCGAGGAAAATAACATTTGCTATAGTAAAAGGAATGTAAGATCAGTATTCACGTAGCCCGTTATCATTTGACAAATAATCGTAGTTTCTTAAAACTCCGATTATCTGTCAGTCTGTACTTCAGTTGTTACTTAAGTGAAATATTGATCCTAATAGTCCATAATACAAATCCATAATACAATCCATAATATAATCCATAATACAAATCCATAATAAATTTAATTCTCAATCATAATTTGTGAATAATTCACAACTGTGAATACCGGCCTAAGAGAACTGACCCGAAAACTTAAATATCAGATTCAAGATATTAAGTTCATCTCGCCGTCGCGACCTTACAGTCGTTATCTGAGAACGGGTCGATGTAGAAGTATACGGAAAACGAATCGCGCAATTTTTTCGTAAGCCAGGAACATCAGGGCGGCCATGAGGACGGTTTGTAGCAATTTCGCCTCCATCCCTTTGTACAAGCCACGTATTCCTTGCCTCCTGCAAACATGAATGTAATATCGTTATGGTTCTCACAAACACGCTAATCTTTAATATAGACAGATACACAGTAGATGATTAAATGCTGCGACACTTACCTCAACGAGTTTTACAACGCATTCCGTATTCATTAGGAAAATTTACTTCCTGAGAATTACCAAAAAAACAAATTGTCCTATCGGATGCGGAATTGCGAAACTCGTCAAGATAAGTGCCGCAACTATTAATTATCTGATTGTACGTTTGAATTAATATATCATATACTTACTTTAGAATGTAAAATAATATTTGCAGCGTGCCTGCGTTCGGAGGTAAATTAGGATATTTATGTCCATGCTGAAAATTGCAGTATACCAACATTAGAGTCGCACGATAACGCAACCTCTGAAATTTACTTTAAAATATAATATATTTTGTCGCTATTTACTCTTAGTTTCGTTTGCACGAGCTGCAGAGGATACGTGAGTGATGTGGCGATCGTTTTCGCGATCGCACCGATAGCAAAGAAAATCCACGCCGGTGGCTGGGCATCGCCGAGAGACGCGTTGACTCTTCTCTTGATGCTTTCGTACGTCATAAATTGAATTGCGGGATTCATGACTAGCATCAGACTCGGCAGAGTACCTGCCCAGAGATGTTGCAATCCTTCGTATCTCCATATATGCACGATACCGTCTGTTAAACATGATGATGTAAGAAAAGTGTAAACCACCACTTAACATACATGAAAGTGAGATGAGCTCCGTACGTTTAGCTAACGCAACGCCGCATAATTTCGCTTCAAAGGAATCTCGTTAAAAAAAAGATGCTCCGTTCTTTTAAAGTTAAATTTATCAATCGCAAAAAATTATACGTCAGAATAAACAAAAAATTGTTGGATTATTATGTGGAGAGAAACAATAATTTGATCCAGGAAGTTATCTATCTTCGTTGATTAGTCATGAGACTTTCAAATTGATCTTTTATAACTGTGTATACTGTTTGTATTGTGAATTTACTGACTTATATGTGTGCATCAGATAAAAGAGTGTACAGATGTGAATAATGATGATAACTAGCGATAAAGTATATATATATATATACAGTGACGGACATATACTTACGTACAGTTAGGAAAATTAAGTTTTATTCGTTGTGTACTTATACATGAAATAGTTAAACAAAAGTCCATTAAGTTTTCGCTTTACGAGGAACATTATTTGGCGGTCCATGATGTTTAACATGTTGTATAGCTTGATAATAAGTCATAACAGATATTCCAAGCTTTGTAGAAATCTTCCGATAAGATTTCTCATTTTTGTGAAGCTGCAGTATTTGCTGACGTTGTTCTAGCGTTATATTCTTTCGTTTGCTCATCACAGCTGTCACAACATTGTCACAATACATTATCTACATTAATCTACATTATTCGATACTAATAAGATACTAAGTAATCTACATTATTCGATACTAATAAGATACTGATAAGTATTGTTTACATTACAGAAATTTTTATCTATCTGTGTATTACCACAGTGTACGTAAGTACGTGTCCGCAGAAAATATGACACTTGAGCAAACAAACACAAGAAACTTCTTAGTCATTGTAAATCGATAAACACTGTTTTGCTATCTCATAATATATGCTATAAACTTGTAAAAAACGTAATGGACTTTTGTTTAACTATTTCATGTATAAGTACACAACGAATAAAACTTAATTTTCCTAACTATATATAAGTATATATCCGCTACTGTACGTACGCGCGCACACGCACGCACACACTTTTTAAAAACGATGTTAATCGAATTTAATCATTTAATATAACCAGCAAGAGTCACAGTTTCAAGGCACAGTCCGAGATAATTTATTTGTCTGCAGTTACGCACTATCATGCAGTTTTGAATAATTTTGAATAATAAAATATTCTATTTTAAAATTTTAAACGATAATGTATATTTCACCCCACGGGTGCTGCTTTAACAAAAACGCATAAAGATATGTTTACATACATGCAGCTTTGAATAACTTTGAGTAACTAAATATCCTATTTTTTAATTTTAAGCGATAATGCATATTCCATGCCACGCGTACTGTTTTAACAAAATCGCATAAAGATATATTTACGTACATAACATTAAAATTAATTATGCTATATAACTGTATTGTTTGAGATGTAAACGAAAAATAAAAAAAACGAAATAACCGTTTAAATGTTCATTCGAAACCATTTTCAAGGATCGTTGACTCACCATACAAAGTATCGTATTCATTGTTATTTTTTTCCGGAGCGGTCTCGACACCTCTCATCTTTAACCTCGTGTTTACGACCCATAGAGGTGTCGTGGTGAGAACGTTAATAACACCTAGAATAGATATGAAAATCTAGAAAAAAAGCTGTAAAGTAAGGTTGCTTGTTTCTAATTTAAAATTATAACATAGTAATATATATTATTCGGAAAATTTTTCCATATATAATTTAAATATTATGCATATAATTTTATATAATTATATATATATATTTTTTTTTTCTTATGTATGGATATATTCTATATATAATTATATATGAAAAAATTTTTTTCCCAGCTAAGCACTTATCAAGGCGATATATAGCAAAAAAATTCAGTGTTTCCAATCTCTTTATCACTTATCATGGTATTCGTCAAGCATGTGACATATCTAACTCTTTATCTTTTTGACGAAATATAAGAAAACAATTCCGATTTTGAAATACACGACGACATTACCCTGAAAACGAGGGTGGGTAAGAGATAATACCTGCTATCGATGCGAGAAGCAAGTCACTTCCTGCTGTTTGGTTTCTCCTACTTCTCAGTTCTTTTAAACCGTGGAACGTATAGAAGTAAACGAAATTACTGGCGCATAAACTCTGCAGGACAGGAACGATGCCTCTGTATAACGTGTACCTTGAAGAAGCCAAAGTAGATAAGACTATTAGGTCATTAATAAAATTAATAATACGTCGTTGAACGTTGGAAGTGTGTCGCTCAACTCGCGCTTTAAGTTGTTTAATTAACAAAAAAATACTACTTCGTCGAATCGTGACTTCTCGAGGAAAATCCGTCGGAATCGTCGTCGCGGTTGACACAAAAAACACACGCGGTCATTTTGAAACATTAAATTTGCGTTAATTATAACCGGAGACGTACGGTCCCTCCTTCGCTACGAGTTCTTGTATGACCGCCAACGTGTTCTTCGACTGTCGACCCTCCTCCACTGTAAATAAAAGAACAGATTTCTCAAAATTGAGCGACGTGCGAAACAAGTAACTATTTCTCCGAATAACAAACTCAACGAACGAAATTTGGCTCACAAAGCGTTTTTATTTCTGATAATAATTTTTCGCGCTGTGTTACGAGACATGTTCGTTTTGAAATAAAGAAGCCTTCGTACATTGAATATCATACATTGATAAAAGAATTAGTAGAAGAGGTGAATTGCTGAATTGCATTAATTTACATGTTTTGAAATGTGTATCTTTTACACAGAATAATGTATAAATGCCTGCGTGAATAAAGAATAAAGCTATTAAATATTCGAGCGAGCTGATGGACGGCTATGCATATTGACAAATATAAACGATAACACCGTTGCAACGCATGTATTTAATGTCGCGTTATCGAATATTAATGGCAACGCAATGACTGGATAAAACGACAGGATATTGTCCTGAGCGAGCAGTTTGAAACTTAACGAAATCAAAAGCCGCTCTCTCGCGCTCACTCATTCGACGATATCTCACAATGCACCGCGGAGGAAACGAGCGCATAATTGATCCGTCATATAACCGGGTATATGCAAATTTAGCTTACATTGTAAGCGGCTCCGCACGGTATCCAAGGGGTAGAAGGCTGCCATCGCGACGACGCTACCCTGAAAACGAAATGTCAAGGTTGCACCTCTCGGCTAGATTACAAGCGCACGTGTTCGCGCGGAATTTTCGACGTGCGAGAGAAGTTTACTCACCGCCGCGCCGGATATCGCGTGCACCAGCGTATCGTATGAGAAAATGCCTCTGTTGCGCGGTCCGCCACCACCCATTTTCGCGGCTTTCCAGACACACGCGTTCCTGATCGACTACTCTGTCGCGCGTTGCAACGGGAACTTGGAAAATCCTGACCTATCTAAAAAAAATTATTGTTGCGCAGCTAATGAGATTCGAACCGCAGCGTGACGACTCATCATCGCAAAAAGCACCGATCGATCGGCAGCTAGTAAGTCACTCTTCTGTGGAGCGATCTTTGGTTATTCTGCAACAGATTAGGTTCTTACGATTTTTCGTATATCTGTAGCGCAATAAAGTTAACCGAACGTAAAGGCTTTCGTTCTCTTTTGTGTATTCCAATTTCGAACAAGAGGATTATTTAGAAAAGTATTCATAATCAGATCTTAAATTTAACACGTTGACTGCCAACTACGAGATATCTCGTAGATTGTTTACTTGCCCAGGACGCCTACTACGAGTTATCTCGTGGCTTCATTACTTGATTAAATCAAATTGGCCAGAATCTTAGACTAGAATCGTGAAAAGTTCCGTGGCGGTCAACGTGTTAAGATCGTCTTAAGTTCATTTTTACGTATTTGTAGCTAACGAAATGAGCCGTGCAGCATCTGAAGATTACTTAAAACGGTCTTAATCCTCGAATAATAAGATTTTTACAGCCACATGTATAACAAAGGTAGATCGGTAGAGGCATTTTGTAGTTTTTTCAACTAGTTAAAAAAAAATTAATTGGAAAAAATTATATTAAATAAAAATAAAGCAGTCATTCGTTTTTCCCCTTAATTAGTCAAAAAATAATTACAAATTATTATCATTGTTAATTTATGACAAATATATTATGAAAAAATAATAAAATAAAAGAATAATCATAAAGAAATAATGACGTTAATAACAAGGTTAATCGGATTTAACCAGGAGAATACGCCAAATGAAAAACTCAGATCTTGTATCAGGCAACATAATACACAGTCTCTTTACCTTACGCTACCATTCGCTGCGGGAAAACTGACTCACAAAATCACGCCACGTTTCAGCAGCGCATGTGCAGAAGCATTAAAATATGGATTCATTCGGATCCGACCCAGTCTTGTTATTTGAGAGTTAAATATAAGATCCAACTATGAATACCGATCTTAATCTTCTTGCACGTTACATACTAACTCCTGATTTAAAATCAATGGAGAAGAATGAATCCTCACAGCACATCGTCTCAATAAGATTACCTTAAATTATAACCTCTCTGTAATCTCAGTACTGTGAGGGAAAGATCAAACAGTCGTGAATTAAATTCCTCAATTGAAATTATAAACACCTACAAGTTTATAAAAGAAATACATTTTGATTCTCTCTGTTACGGGTATTACTCTTTGGTGTCATTCTTGCTTTGTTTACTTCTTTCACGCGAAGTAACACAAGCATTTCACTGACACGCAAACAATCACCATTCCAACCCACAAACAGACTTACGCGAGATCATTCTCGTCGTGGATCGGATCGTGTGTTCCAGCTTGTGACTGAACTTACTTGTGTCTCACGTTGAATCTAACCCAACATCGGCGAGTACTCGTGCGACTCGTGGCTTTGACGCACTTGACGCACTGACGCGCGACGCAAGAACGTAGCACGATGAATCGATGTCACTTATATAAGTAAGAATCTCTAAACATGTTGCTTAACGTTAGCCTTCACCTGTATGATTGCGTCACTCCAGCAACGCGTGTTATCCCAATCGTAAATACTATCTTGTCGCGAAGCACGTAGTAGGTGACTCAGCCAACTAACGAGTTCTCCCGTCCACCGTTTCACGGTTTACGCCCGTCATCATTCGTGCGGTCGCCGAAACAACGCGACGCGACGAAGAGACACGGCGCACGCAACAGTCAGCACGCTTGCGCTCTCGGCGAGTGTGTTTCAGCCGCGGCGAGGTCGATGTGGCGTACGAAGTACATGCGCGGTGACGCGAAAGTCGGCCGATCCCTCTCGCGCGGCGGCTGCTAGTAATTCACCNCCCCCCCCCCCCGGTAACCGATGTACCGGGGAAACTTCAAAAGTGGGGAAAAAAAAAACAGGTCAAACGCGATTCCGAAACGCGGAAATTACGTGAAAAAGCTTGACGCCTTTCTGACAGCTTCACGTCTCTCGAGCATATCTGCAATTTTGATTTCCGCAGTTTTTCAGCCGTTCGAATTAATCCGGTGCACCGAGGTTGCATGTTTCTTATCAATTTGTTCATAAGAACGAATGACGGTCGAGGCGATAAATGACTACTTGACTTCTAGACGATCGTTTTAATAATGTCAGCGCGAACTGTCCATGTCATTCCGAGAACGCGGAATCAGATATCGGAGCTAATGTCTCGTTTCCATGGTGCGTCGCACATGCAAGGGCGTAAATTATGTGACGAGACAGAGAGAGATCTTCGGATGTGCCGCACGGCGCCCGGAATTCTCCAAGTTCTCGTCGCAGTTTAATTAAACATTCCACCGTCTGCGGAATACTGCAGTCGCCCCCAGTTCCCTAAGCCGAAAACCGCTGTCAATGAATACGGCGATGCCTTTTTCGTGGATCTCGCGGTTCGTAAGTCCACGATGACGGATGTAAATTTAGAGAACCGGGTCAATTGGATAATTTCCTTAAATCTCTTGTGAGCGATCTTTCGCGAGATGAATTTACAGGACGCCACAAATTGCAGCTAAAAAGAAGAAAGCTAACATTAATCCTTACGTTTGTTACGTCTGTTTATTTCAAAATCATTTGATTGCGATCGACAAATTTGCTGTTGTTGATTTAAAAAGATAGCGAACGTATTGCAAAAGTTTTTATTTGAACAACGCGTGAGGATATCGCAAGATAGAATTCTCACGATGTTATTATCCCGGAAGAGACGCAATATGCAAAGTGAATTAAAACTTGACGCGCGCTCGAGTCTTTTAAAGTTAAATAATTATGAAATTTATGTACGGGACAAAGTTAATCATGTTATTAAATATTTCATCAAGCTGAAAGGAGGTTTACGCATACTTTAACGTCGTATTTTTAACACGATTATCTTGAATACGCTATTTCTGCCCGTTGTTGCTTTCAATCTAACGAAAACTCAGTCGCGTCCCTTTTTAGCTCCAGCTTGATTGAACCCGCTCTTGCATTGCCTTCCGGGCAACAAAGGAATTTTTTAGCGCTTTTAATCTCGATGAACGAAATAAAGGATGATTTCTTTCTTCTTTTTTTTTTTAATTGAAAACGCCGGAGAGTGTATTAAACAACACGAAACAGCATTATTAATTGTTTGCAAAATATATTTCACAACCGCTAAAGGCCGATCGTGTCAACTGAATTTTACAAGGCTTCCCCGTTAGAGAAATTTTATTTTATTGTATTTAGCTTTTTATTTGCTCGTTTATTTATTCCACTAAACCAGAGTAACAACCGTTTCCGCTGAAATTCCAATTCGCGATCGCGTTTTTGCGCTGAAAATTAAAAAAAAAAAGCATACGTATTCGAGCAGAGACTTGCGGTATCATTTTCATCTCGTCACAGCGGGAATTAATTTCCATCCCGTCGTGCCGAAAGGATTAATACCTAAGGGATTAATGCCTGAGAAAATTCGACTAACGAGTTATCGATCAAACCAATAAGACAGAATAGTCCGCCGGAGGTGATAATCGACAAATCGTAGCCGGCAGGCAGCTACGGGCGTGGAAATCTGGTTTAAGTCAATTTCACTCGGGTCGGCCGCGTGTACCTGTGTAGCGAGCGATTTCTCGCTTCGCAGATTAAAGTGTCATCGCGGGTTTGGAACGCAGGGTCGCTCGTTACCGCGGGTATTTTAGTATCCGCTTTGTTTCGGCAGTCCGGGAGGGATATTAGCGGGGGAACACGGAGCAGCGGCTAAAAGAATCGTGCGAGGACATGGAGAAAATGTCATTTATTCGATACAAAATGCGAGCACGATCGCGCATGTTCGTGACACTAATCACTTTTATTTTATTTATTTATTTATTCTTTTATCTTCTTATCTTATTCTTTTATCTTCTTATCTTTACCGCTTCTTATTCTTTTATCTTCTTATCGTTACCGTTTGCGGCGACGTAGCTCTGTTCCGATGAAGCTTTGCTTTGCGCTCTTCGGTCTTGTAGTCGCGGCTTATGGGCCGCTTAATTGGTCGAATCGTCGATTGTACCTTAGAGAGTAACTGAGTAGCCGAATTTATGGGAGGAGAAAGGATGCTTCATCCACGTTCGCGGGTCTCTATATGCTTCCGATACTCCACCGGTCGTGGCGCATCCGCGCGATAAATGGTACGTGGAGAAGAAGTGTATTTCCTCAAACGGAGGATCAAAGAAAACTGCACAAAGTCCGGTGAATTTCGCGAACCGTCGAGCGAATCCTTACGAGTATACATGTGAGACACAATTTTCGCTCGTCGAATAAATGTACTCGCTTGCTTTCTCAATTGATAAAACGGCGGGAAGTCGTTTAAACTTAGGCCACGTTCTTACTCTTTGAGCGTTCATGCGCTGTGTCATTCTATCTTCCTTTGGCATATGAGGAACAATAAAAATAGAATGACGCTTACAGCGTGCGGACACCCAAAGAAAAACGCAGCTTTAGTCACGAATGAATGATTTTCCCCCATTACGGAAATCGAACATGATTTTTCAGACTTAATATCCCACGTTTTGCGTGACCCTTCGTCTTGCAATTCCATTGAATTATACATGAAAGGCTCGATCATCTCTTTCTCTCTCTCTCTCTCTCTCTCTTTTCCTCTTTGCCTCGGATATGCCGCGCAACCGATGGAGGGATAAATTTCGCGTGTTCGTTCGATAGGTTTTAACAAGTTCGAGATGCATAGAAAAGAAGGTCGAGATAGGGAAATATCGATTGACTTCGTGCGAAGTACGTTTGGCGCGCGACGCGGCCGTGATTCGTTACATCATAAACGTGGTTTTACTGACCGCGTGGCCACGTGCGAATGGACAAAACCGACGTGGACGAACCGCGACGCGTATGCCCCGACAAAGGGCCGCCATTCTCGGCCACGAATCCATTCGCGCGTATTTTCCAAGTGCACGCGTGCGCACGCGAGGAAAATCAGCGGACATATCGGCGCGGAATACGGCTACGAATATTCCCCGGTTCCGCAGATCGAGTGCTATTAGTGGAATTACAGCAGCGTTCTAGGTCTCTCGTCGGCTGGGTATAACGTCGCTTCTTCTTCGCGTGCCGGAACTCGCGCGAGGCTACGAGGGGCGCAGTTAACTAATTCAGTAAAAGCTCTTTCATCGCGTTCTCTCTCGTACGCGAGACGCGGCGCACTGACATTTTTCGACCCCTCTCGCGCCGTGAACGCGATTCGTGATTCCTCGTGGTGATTTCGCGTCGAGGATGATTTCGATACAAATTATATCCTAATACAGGAGGAGTGGGTGCTGTTTCATGCGCAATTCGATCATCCCGCTATTGCCGGAGGAGCCTGTGATCGAATGTCAAACGATCTTATTCGCGCCAGTGTATCGATTTCCCGTTAAGTGTTTGATCGACGACGATTAATTAACGCAACGGCTTACCTTTATCTCTCCCTCTTTCTCTCTCACTTTCTCTCTCTCTCTCTCTCGCTCTCTCTCCCTCGGTTACATCTTAAGTTAATTATACGTGTTACCTTCGGGACATTACGCTAAAGCTATATTCCGTTAATTAATTAAGGCGAGTAGCGTGGTCGGTTTAAATATGATTTTCCCTCGGCGATCTTCGTTCGCGAGTGTTCTCGCCCCGCCGCATTGTATCTTCGCGGTGAATTCTGACGACCGCACAATCTCCCGAGTGTTCTGTAATCGTGTGCACAATTTACAACGTATTTACAATCTCTCCGAGACCGTTGAACAAGCTTGATCCTTCTCGCCCCGCGAGAGACGTTCGAAAGAAATCTGGATGAGAAACACAGCAAGATGATAGCGCGCGAACGCCGAAACGACAAGGAAATCGTAATAAGGACAAACGTCGCTCATGCGGCGATATCGCGACAACAACGTTACAGCGGACAGAGACAGATGGGTACCTCGTTTCCGAAGATCGCTTTTGTGTAACGCGCGTGTATCCCTCGTAATTTGCCTGCGAGAATCGTCCGAGAGTCGTATCACTGTATCGTGCAGGCCTTCCTGGACTCCGATGTTCTCAGCGTGATCCTGGATCCCGGCGCGTTGTTCTCGTTCCCGGCCGCGAGCGAGCACGTCTTCGTCCTCATGATCATCAAGTCCGTCCTGATGCTGGGCCGACGCACGTTCGGCGCGACGACGCCGCAAGCGTCGCTCAGCCGGCGTTTTATGCTGAGAGTGGCTTTGTGCCGCGGCTGGAAAAACAAAAGCGGCCGCTTTTCAGGCTCACGGTCCCGCGGCTCGATAGGTAATCCTCGCTCGCGCTCATCCGTTCGTTCGTTCCTTCGCCCGTTCGATCGATCGCGTGCACAACTCGACTCCAGGAAGACAATGTTCCGTATCTTCGCGCGCTTCGTTAGCTTTAATCGGATTTTCGGCACGAGGGTCATCCTAGTCAACCTCTGGAAGCGGTTAATCAATCTCGAAGGGGCGTCGGCGTAGGATCGAACGTTCCGAGCACCGAGTACAAAGAGTCGAGAGAAAGAGCGTCGTCTCTCCACGTACGTACCTGCGACGGTGGCAACATGGTGGGCGAGCCGAAGGTGAGCGGTACTTTTCTGTGATGATTCGGCGCCATCTCCAGCGGTAGACCCGCCACCACGAACAGCTGGTAAAAAAGCTCGTCCACGTGGTAGTTCCGCTTTGCGGAAGCCTCCACGAAGATGCAGCACTCGTCTTGGCCTACGCAATATTGCTCGGCTTCCTCCACGGTGACCGTCCTGCAACGAAGAGACTCATTATTAAAACAATTACGTCGCGGCTCCGAGATGCGACGACGTGCGATCCGAGACAGAAGTATGTTCGCGAGTAATATATGCAGTCTCCGAATAGTAGAGAAGGGAACGTACTTTACATCTTTATCACATTTGTTCCCCACGATGACCATAGGGACTTTCAGGCTGTAGTGGCTTCGGCTCCTGCTTTTCGTCGCACTTTGGGTCGCGCTCACTTTGGTCTCGAGGATCGCCTCTCTCAGCCTGATCGCTTCCTCGAAGGATTCCCGACAGTCCATACTGAACACCACGACGAACAGGTCCCCTGCGAAATCGGTTACCGGTGTCGAATCGCGTCGGCTGATGGGCCAACGTTTAATCACGCGGCGAGATTTCATGGCTCAGCACATGAATGCCGTAATTGCATTATCGATGACGTAAATCAATGTAAATTAATGCTAGTTAATTTACATCGGTTAATTCACACCGATTCACCGACACGTTAACGCAATTGTGTGTGTGCCTTTTTTAATGAATCGCGGCCACGTTACGCGCGCCTGTCTGAACTTTGCGTAGATCAGATTTGCCCTCGAAGTTTCTTCGAGGGAAATTCCACCCGAGAAAAATGACAACCGAATAATTCGACGTCGAATTACTTTTCACTCATATAGAATAAATTCTATGAGTGATATTTTCGTTTAAAATTGGAGAGCGAATCTGATGTTTTCATCGTCGTTGCAACAAATTCGCTGTGATCGACTGAAGCATTCATTCGCGTGGATTAAGAATTCATTCTAGGTTTGAATTAAATATTTCCTCTCCCGAGAGTGGCAGTATTTTCACCATCGCTTCGAATGAATTCTCGCTCGTTTCTAAAGCGATTACGCTTTAAGAAATTTGGAGAGGCCAAAGTGTCTTTTTTTCCGTTTCCTCTTTTTCTTGCTGACAATCGCAACGACGCGTCTCCGATTGCTCTTTCGCACGCGTTCATTATGCGACAAGGACTGCAATTATTTTTAACCGGTCGGGAACTCGGCGCTACCGCACGCTGTTACATACAGACTAATTATAGCGATCACGCGAGTCACATGTGCGACACGCGTGTTATGGATTATGAATATTTATGTATCCCGATGGATTTATTTCCACGGCGACAAGGGGGTGCGGCAGCATATACATTGTGTATTTATAAATTCACTTTCTAACGACAACGACCACAACGACGACGACGACGACGTAACGATTCTGTGGCGGTGTTCGTGAGCACGACATCGTTCGCGAATACCGCTCGTACCTCCCGACAAAAACGCGTCGCGAACAAAAGGGCCAGCAGGATCAACCGGCTGTTCTCGGGGCGAACAAAAAACCCGTCCATTGGGGAACTCGACGAGTCGGGAAGTGTGGAGTACGTAAGCTCGGTAATAATATCGCTTTGCCAACACACAAGCGCCGTTCCACTTGGTTTTATTATCACGTGTCCTCCCGCTAAAAGATGCCGTTAAGCGTTTCATGTATAATAATAACGTCATCGTTAACTCTGCATTAGCGGCATAGTATCGCTTCGGAGCTAGAAAGAAAGACCCGCGCAAAGCCACTCTGGCGTTTTGGTCTCACCATCAAGAATTTATCATCGTTAACATATTTATTACATTATTGTTATTGTCGCGTCCTCTGTATACATACAGTAATTGTAATTAAATTATAATAATTATGCATAATTATTAATTTGGTTACTTGGATTTATGTTGAATTGCTGCATTAATTTTACGGGGTTGGCGCGCAACGGAATAGTTCGTATCGAACGTGCAGGTACTCTCTCATGTTTATGGACTTGCCGTAATGCGGAGGTGCCTGTGTATATACGTATAACTTCCGAACTTCGCGAGTTGTAAATAAGAGAATAACATTTTATCCGGATAAATATGTTAAATATATTAATGAGCTCACGAAATTAGGCAGATACCATTGCTGCCGGAGTTAAAGATCACAGCATCCAATTTAATCTCGCGTGATCTCTCCTTTTTCTTTAGAACCAGAGTTGGAAAAAAGTTATTTTTTAAATATAACTCGTTACCCTCCTTTATCGTTACTCAAGCAGTAACAAATCTTAACAATATTTTCATTCTTTTTCAATCCTGACTAGGAACAGGATATAAAAAAGCCTGTTCTCCTCGCGCGAGTACGATTTTTAAATTGACAGTAGACTTGAGGGTTCACAGATACGTCTCGTTTCGTCGCTGTTGCATCGTCAAGGAATCCCTCAAATTCGACTTCACGTTGACGAAAATCCTAGTCGCCTGTATTATAGCGCGACATTTTATTCCCGCGATACGCACGCGCCAGCGAGCCCGTTATTGTCCCCGATACGGGATGAAAATATATGTGTGTCAGCTATTATGCGGTAAAGTTCGCGTCTCTTTGGTGTCGAAAGGAATTCTCTCTTCTCGCAACAGCCGCCGTGTCCGGAGGTTCATTGTCTACGAATCGGGGTCATATCACCGCGTTCGTCCGTGTTCAGGCGTATTCTAACGCGGATCTGCGGCTCGCGGATTCGACCTTTCGTGTTTTCGACGCTGTAAGCCGATCTCAACCTGCGAGTGGAAGAGTGCGTTTGTAGAAGGGCGGCGATGTTAATCGCGCTTGAAGGAGGTTTGAACATTTGACCAAATATAAGATAAATCTATAATATATAAGATATAAAAGTTAATCCAACTAATAACTTAACAGAAATTTTAATAATCTTTGCTTTGTATCCTTTTCAAGACATTTAATTATAAATTTGTACGTATGCAAGTATAGAAATTTCATAAAACACCAAATCTCTCCTAATTTGATATATTTGCGCACAAAATGAAAATTTGAAAAAAGAACTATTATAATATTTAAACACATAATACTTTTTATTATCTGTATATATCTAGATTAACTGATGCATAATTATAGTATTAACAAGAAATATAAAAAATAATATTTTTATATTTGCAATATTGTGTGCATATATTTACCTCAGTTTTGTTTCAAACTAACATTTATTATTTAGCTAATGAAATAAATGTATAGAAAAGAAATTTTGCTTGAATATTAAATATTAAATTTATAAAAGGCCCCCTTCGATGAACCACTGAAAATATGGCACTTAACATAATAACCTCCTTAAAATTCGCATTGCTGAAGTCGTTTCGTCAAAATACGGCATTATTTGCAAATTTCGGATATAAGGATACTCGAAATTGCTTTTCTAAACGATTAACGGAAAATAAAACGATACGATAGTTCTCGATGTTTATGGACGTACGTATTATTATCAGCGCACATGTCTTCGTGGGTAAAAGGTTACCCATGATAAAAGTTTCCGGCGAAGTACGGACGATGTACGAATTATTAAGAGATCTCCGCGGCGCCTCGAAAAATGCGAACGGAAAACGCAGCGCAGCCGTGACTCCCCGTCGAATGCGCGGAATTTCTATCGCGGCGCGAGCGCGTCGGACGGAATACAAAACTAAACACGCCGCGATGAAATTCCCATCGACGTGGCTTTCTTGATTTTCGTACGCGTGGACGGCAATTTAAAAATTCCTCGGATTTACGTGTCTAATTTCACCGTACGCTCCTACGTGAGGTCACCTTGTGTCCGTGACACGCGACACGTCGCCATTCCCGGTGCGTATGTGGAGCAATAACTCGTGAGGGACGAGTATCGGTTTTGTCCGATGCAATTTGCGCATTTCCATTTCACCGCAACGGTGAATTCGTATACTTAGAGGCCCCGTGGGCATACCGCCGTTGTCAACAATTTTGAACCGCGGTAATTCCGCCGAGTGTTGTGTTTTACAATAATAATATAATTAATAATCAGGGCGGTAATTGGGTAACTATGAAATATTCGCGGGCTGCTTGATTACGTTAGGAAAACAAAATTTATAATGATTGTATCTGACCTATGTGGGCGAACCCCTGCTATCAGAGCGTGCTTTATTTTTCAGGTTCAATCTTCATTGGATCTAATTAGGTCGGTCCACATAGATCAGATCCAATCATTATAAATTTTGCTTGTCTAATCAAATAGTTAAATGTTTCAAAATTGAATGTTTCAAAGTCACCCAATTGTTTGTTCTTTTTTGGAGGTCAGTTTTGTTTCTCTCAGGAAATTAAATTTTCACAAGAATTGATGAAATCAACCAACAAATTAACTATTTATTAGTCTAATAAAGGCAACAAAATTACGCACAGTGAAAAGAAGGAATATCCATGGGTCTGTGATAAACCGAGTGTGATATCGTATTTATCAACTAATCGTACTTTCCAACGAAAAATTAAATCGTCGTATCCGGGAGCGGCCTGGGCTCCGCGCCTGTACGGTAATTCACCACTGTCTTGCCGGATATAGTATCGTTTTGGGAATTACACGCTATACAATAGAACCGTAATTTGGATTACGGCCCGATTTGACGGTGAACGTGACGTTCGTATGTATATCCGAGCGTAAATATGTATTTTCAGCCTGCAGGTCGGCGAGTCTTCCGTTTTGACAAGCGACCGATGCAATTGTCCAACGTTGCGGCGCGATACCGAATTATCAGGTAGAGGTGAGCGTCGCGACGTGTGACGGGTCGGAGGATCCGAGAGATCTACATGGAAATCAGAGAGGAGCTATCGAGCGGTAAAGAACACGACGAGTGGACTGAACTGAGTTATCGAGCGTAGTCCGTGCGCTTTCTCCCGGCATTTTCGCCGGGATAGAACGTCCTTCGAGATTGTCGGCCACTTATCACCGCCTTTAAGCTCTCGCTCTGTCGACCCTCGTCGTCGTCGAGCACCCCTTCGCTCAACACATTCAATACCGCGAGGATCATCGGTGACCGGTGTTACGATACACGACTAACGCGTTTCATTAATACACGGATGGAAGACGACGAACTATAATTAGGGATTTCTGTGCACCGTTTATAGAGAATCGATTAGGTGAGGTAATGGGGTATATTTGGAAAGTTTATCGTCAGAGAACGGCGTGCTTATCTTCTACTGTTTAATCGGGAAAAGCTTTAGACGAGAGAGAGAGAGAGAGAGAAGATGAAGAGAGATTGAATTTATAATAAAAGCCGGGATATAGACTATTCTATTAAAGAGATGAGTACTATTAAAGGAAGATTAAAGAGAGAAATACCCCGAAGGAGTGAATCAATGAAAATAAGTGGAATAATGTAGCAGCTGCTGTCTCGGTACTTCGATAGGTCGGACCGTTATTTCAGTACCTGACTGTCGCGCGGACGAGTCTTTAATTTATTGAAAATTGAATTTCCCGCTGTAACTTCGGTTGCATAATCCGCGCTTAGGTTTCTGCAAATTTAATCGAAATCCGTACGGTGCTCAACGTGTTAACTTCGTATCCGGGCCCGTTGTTTGAAATTTTCGTAACGGCCGACACGGCCGGACGGTATCACCTGGGGCGGCCTTCTCCCCCGAACTTTTCTCACGCGCACGGCGAACTGTCGTTGTCGAGGATATGAGATTTCGCAAAAGTCGTGAAACTTCTCGCGAGCGACGCTTCTCGATCCTGAAAATGCCTGAAACGCGCGCCGTTTTTCCCGTAAAATCAGCGCGATTTCCGGCAGGCGTGTCCCCTTCGTTACGAACGAAGAACGAAAGTTTCTCCGACCGTCGAGCCGCGGAACCTATGTGTTAAAACGCGGTGTTAATTTGTACGCGAGCGGCGCTGCAATAAATATACCGGCCGTGTTTCGTCGAGACTCTTAAAGATTCACAGGCCCTCACTCGCGGCGAAAAATCGTCGGAATCTTTAGGGATTGTATTTTTTCCCCGTTTTTTTTCCAACCACCACAGCCTGGCACATTCTCATACAAGATGCATCTCAGCGCACTTGCGCCCCGCGCGTCGCCCGCTGCAACGTGCAATTTCCATTCGCCCGTACGACGGGAGTTAAATATCCATTAAGTTTGTCGAGTCAATATTCGCCACGTCGAGAAGGGCGATACGGTTAGCCGTCAGGGATCGAATTTTAATACCGTTAGAAACTATGTATTCGTATATTTTTGCGAAACTCGTGCGAATATTTTTGCTCCTCTCTTTTCGATCGTTTTTGTTTTTACACTTCTTTTGCGAACGGCCACGTCGGCGTGGAATGAAGCGGCACACACACACACACACACACTCTCTCTCTCTCTCTCTCTCTCTTTTTCTCTCGGGGGTGCGGAAGAAGCGGTGAGTCGATGGACTTACCCGTCAGGAACGACAATCGTCTCATGGCCGGAAACGGATGGTTTCCGCTTGTATCCAGGAGATCAAGCTGGTGAACCTCGCCTCTGATCCTGTAGAGTTTCCTGTGAAAGTCTTCTATCGTTGGCGTGTAGCTTTCCTCGAATTTGTTGGACAGAAACCTGGAACGTGAGCGGCAGAGATTTCACACGATTTCCGCTCTTTCTCTCTTTCTCTCTTGATGCGGCCATGGCGCCCGGCTGTTTCGATCTCTACGCTTTTCTAGTCGAAATTTTGTTTCCCCCCCTTTTTTTTTGTTCTTTTTATCGGTCGCTCCCTTTGAGCCGCCTCGCGTTTAGACTACACCTACCTTCCTCGAGTTTTTTTATTCCACGCAACAGAATCAACGGGATATACCGTATCGTAATTTCAGAACGTCCATCATGCCTCAAACGTGTCGGAAAATTAGGATGCCCGCGTCTCTCCTCCTCCGCTCTCCCGGCTAAAAGCGTCCATTTAATTATTTAAATGTATTCGCCCGGAAACGGTGTTACGTGTCCGATGGGACGATAAACACAGGCTTAACCCGTAATATCGTGTATTTAAAAACTCACATTTGCTCGAGAGCGCGGGCGGGCGGGCAGGCGCCTGTCTCGGCTTTCCAAATGAGCTCGTTAGCGGTCGCTATCTGCGCGCGTACGAACGAAAAATTCGCTTAGCATGCGCGGGCCGCGTAATTGCGGTCAATTTAGGATGGTCGACATAACTTCGAACCGGCCGTGCCGCAAATTTTCGACATTTCGCGGCGCCGGGATGTTCATCGGCGCGCAATATCGGCGGCGATGGATTTTCTTCTCTTCCTCGGCGTAAGGACTCCGCGCGAAACTGCACCCGGCCGATTTAGCCCGTCGATGGGAAGAGAAACGTCGTTAGCTCGCAGTTTTTAACAGGCCGATCCAATTCGAAAGGATCGCTCTTTGTTAGTAGGGAAACACGTGGCCCTGGTTTTTCGATATTCTCTCGTATGCGCGCCGGCATTCGCATGCACAATAATAAACACAATACGCCGGCGGTGAGCTGCGGGTGCACGCTTCAAAGATTAATTAAATCACATTGTCCGCGCTATTAGTAATCGATCTGCGAAAGGGAGCGCGACGAACGGAATTCGTTTGAAAGCCCGGAGAGAGCAGCGCGTCGGGAACGTACGGAATACCTAAACGCGGAGAAGCGCGTACCGCGGAAAGTGCCGCTCGGATTTGCCGAAATAGGCCTGACGAGAATCCCGTGCGTCCGTGGAGAATCTTTCTGAAAACGCGAGTGCTGAACGTAAAAGTTACAGATAAATAAATGCAAAGCAAACGCAAGCTGGGGAAAATACAACTACACACGAAAGAGAGTGAAAATAATATATGTGAAAATAATGATTTGTTGTAAAAATGATGAAAATAGCTCGTAAAAGAAAATTATGAAAATAATAATTTGTAAAAATTATAAAGATGATTTATAAAAATTACATGAAAATAATTCGTGAGATGCGATAAAAATAATTATCGAGACGAAGAAGCGAAAGAGCGACGATTGACGAGAGAGAAAGAGGGGACTGGGGATCGAGGGGGGCCTATTAAAGCCGGATGTCGCGATTTGGGCGAAATTTCGTGTTTACCGTGCTACAATAGCAGTCTTTCCAACGCGGGCGCTGCCAAGCATAACGAGGCGATAGCAGTTACGCGGTGGCGGCTTGCAGGCGTCCTCCTGCGACGAGGTGGACGCGGGACTTGGGCTGACGGGCATAGCGAGCATTCCATCCTCTGGGCCCGAGGGACCATCCACTTCTGGCTCCGCTTGCGCGCCTCGCCGACCACGGTTGATCCGACGCTCGGGCTCGTCGGCTGCACTTCCGCTTCTGCAGAGCCTCTGCACGCAACACAGAAGTCGGCCGCACGCCTCCAGCTGCGGAAACGGGAATTACTTGTCTGTGAATGTGATATCAAGCCTTAACCCTCTCGCCACTCTCTCCCTTTCTCTCTCCTTCTCTTTCTCCCCTTCTCTGTGCTTCTCTATCTCTGGGGTCATAATCTCCAATAGATCATAGAATGGTGTCGAATTTCCAAGTTTCCTGTACGATCCGGTCGACGGCAACGGATACACAGAGCCGGCCCATATTTCATGCGATGCAGCGTGCTGCAAAAAATATCGTATCTCCTCTTGGAACTCGCTTTACTTCCAAATTCGAGAGACACATACGCGAATTGAAGTATTTTTTGTCGCGCGAAATAGTTTGTTATGCTAATCGACGAGCTAATCGAATATGAATCAACGATAATCCCGGCGGAAATACTTTCATGACGAGAGATTTAACGTTATTTACATTTCACTTTGAATTTCGACTGTATCCAATGCCGGTTAACGCAAAGCTATATTGAATTTCGCAAAATTCACGCACATTTTAATGAATGTCGAGAATTATTTGGAGCTTTGACAGGGTGTTACATATAGTTCTCTCTTTTTCTCTCTTTCTCTATTTTCCTGTTCTAGTAACTCGCATTTCACACGACGCGAAATACGAACGGTCGGCGATGGCAAGACTAATATTCACGAGATTGAATTTTCCAATAAATAGTAGGATGACAAGCGTTTCCAGACGAAGACGATATCGTACGCCCAAAAGGAATCGCGAAGCGTGGAAAGAATGGGATATACGAGATCTAAATATGAGTGCGCGTAGACCGATTGGATTTGCTCGAATTGATTCGTAGCGGTAGATCCCAGCAAAAATACTTTTATTAGAGCGACGCAAGAGAGAGAGAGAGAGAGAGAGGGGAGAAAGAGAGAGAGAGAGAGAGAGAATAAAAGGGGACAGCGAATGTGCCAGACACACTTTAGGACCCCTCTTTTCGTGAGTACTCTTGAATATTTTCGTTTGCTTTTCGACGACATTAAGAACGTCCGGAAGTTGCCAGCAGCAACAAAGTATTGGAAAACATTTCATTTTTGCCGAGGTCGAGAGTATCGTGGGCGGTGAAGAGTGGCGGCAATGCTTAGCCTCTGTGGTCGGCATATTCGTATTTTTCAATACGCAATCCGATTATATAATTCCCGACGAATCGTTACCGAACGTTGCAAACGCAAATTTCACCGCATATCTCGCCAAGTTTAACGAGAATGCTCGTTACGCTGACAAAAAAAGTTTCGAGGTGACGCACTAAATAAACGCGGAGGAACTTGGCTCGACTAGCGTGTGTGGGTGCCATAAGAATTGGAGGGTTAAGGTTCCTTAGGCATATTCCGGAATATCCTAAAATAAGTTTGAAATACCTCGCGGCGCGTGCGCGCGTTATACACGCCGAAAATATAAACTAGTCCTGCATAATTCACCCGGCCAAAACGATATTCGCTCCCGTTTGTTCGGCGTTTTGGATTTACCGGCGATGTTAATACAGCAGCCTGACATGAGAAAGCTCATAAAGATGTCGTGTTCTCTTCAGTTAGTTCCCTTTCAAGGGGAAACATATATCAAGATTGTAAGGTGCAATGAAAACTTCTGTGAAGCACCGGAGAAACGCAGAGAGCGATCGCTTTCTTTGCTTTTAATTAATTCGACATTATTTAGGAATACACGCAGCTTTGACCGATGCATCGCTGTCTCTCCTCGAAATTATAGTTTCTCATGTTGGATCTCCGAATGTTAATTATAGGGATAAGGCGCAATTCGTATCTCTCCGTCTAACCTGTAAATTCACGTCCACGGATACTAATGTTTCTCAAGCGTCTGTGTCGAGAGAGGCTTTATTCGCGCTTAAGAATCGAGGATTCCACCTACGTTAAGCGATAACATTATTTTTCGTGTTCGTCTTCGAACGAAAGTTTACCCTGCCATTCGGGGCTTTCGTGGACGCGCGACGCGCCACTCGGGCAGAAACTGTCGCATAATAGAACGCGTTAAATCTTTACCGTAACGCCCGGTGCATTTCTAATTCAAGCTCGCTGAATAGAACGCTAATGATTGCAACGAAGCAAGTTCTGAATGTCGCTTAACACCACTTTAACGCACGATAGTTGCAGAAAGCCCTTTAAAAGAGATAAAAACGGTGTTATTTCTTGAATGACGGCGAAGCCACTCGAATCATTCCATGTTCTCTCTTCCGCCCGAGAGAAACAGCACGGGTTCGCCGACAGGCAAGCTTTTAACGCCGTTTGATTCGCGAACATCGACGCTGTAATTTCATCGTGAATAATTTTTAGAATGGTAAATACTCTAGGGCTAGAAATGATATTCGAGGCTTCGAATTTCCGAACCTTTTACATATTTTATTCGAATAATGAAACGATAATTTTGAAGTGTGAAAATTCGAATATTCGGAACGTTTGAATATTCGAAATTTCAAGGACTGGAAAATACGTGTGTTTGTTTTATAATAATAATTTCTACCTCTAGTAAATACTCTAATACGTGTAAAAGTAAAATATTGTAAATATATCGAGGAAGCCCCGCGAAAGTTCCCAGTTACACTACATGTCAAATATTGGTTCGACGCGTTTTTCTCAAAATTGATTAAGGACGAAGGGACCAGCAACGTGGCTTGTTGATGCGCCGGAGAGGAATCTTCCTAGACGCGTTCCGTTGAAAAATACATGAAGTAAACTCGATGCTCGTCGCTGTTGCTCCGCAAATTTACCTCTGAACAAGACAGCGTGCCGCTTCGCGTGTCTCGGTTTCGAGACGATATGCACAAGAGGTGAGGCTTTATAAATATTTAAATAGGACACCTGATGCCCGCGCGAGGGTGTGGACCGCAATTATTAAAGGCCTCCATTAAAACGCGCCGCGCGTATTGCTCTCCTTTTTTTCTCCTCCTTCTCTTCTTTCGTCCTCCCTCTCTTCAGAAATGTGGTAACCTATTTTGTGAAGGAAACACAAGTGAGCCCAGGTCGCGTTTTATTCTCGCTGCTTTTCCACGACGCTAACAGCACGAATCGCCCTGATATGCCGTTTAGCGAATGGCGACGTAAATCGCGTAACGGCGAACGAAAGAATCGTTTCTTTCTTTTCCTTTTCTGCTCTCTTTTTTTCTCTCTTGTCGAGCGTCGCGCGAAATCCCATCTCGTGCGGTTTTCGGCCGTTAATTCAGCCATTGAGCTCTTAAATCGCCCAGCGAGATCGTAATTACTGACCGCAATTGTTTCTTAACGGTAAGTGTCGACGTGAGTTATTATTACATGTCGATGATGCTTTATTTCTGGCCCACGCCGGAGAATCGAGGTTGCGGCATTTTTCGATGGCGTTTTAACTATAAATGCGCGTGAAAAAGCGAGGGTGCTTGCATACGCGAATTGGATCGGATTGCAGCGTCATATTTTATCTCTGTCTCAAGTACGACGAACGTTATCCGTCTCGCGATACATCTCGCGGTGGTATCGACGTTCTTCTCCATCCGCGCGCGGGATATCTCTCCCTGTCGTGCAAATATCCCCCGGAATAAAAGTCGGGCGTGCTGCAGTTACTATTTTTAGAATTTATGAACGGTGTTTCTTCCCCTCCTCTTCCCTGCGAAGTCGGTTAACTACAATCTCAGTTTTACTGCTATTCCGTTTCTTTCTGGGATTAGAACTAGTATGTAAGAAACAAAGATTTATATCCTCTCCCTCGCGACGTCCGATTTCAGAAAGAGAAAAGAACCAAACCGGGATCAACCCTTCCATTAGGAGCTTTTGCCGTTTCTTTCCTCGCGTCTTTTTTCCTCCTCGACTTCTTTTCGGTAAAACATTCTGATAAGTCGCGAAATCTCTCTTAAATGAGTTTGAGTCTGTGAAAATGAAATCGCATCGTTTATCGCGCTTCAGACGTCTGTCAAAAATATTAAAAGAAATACGATCTGACGGATCATTAAAGCAATAGAAATATATTTTCGCCGCAAGTCGGCAACGCACGAAATAACTTTATCGCGCGGTCCTTCGTGAGGCGGTCAAGTTAAAATTAACCGACGTTGATGAAAACGCGAATAACGTGCCATAATATTACGCGAATATTACGGGGTGGCTAAACTGAGGTTGACAATTTTTGATCGCGCGCCGACTTTTATTTTAGATCTTAGAGCGAAGAGAAAAGCTCTTTCCGTCGTCGACAATGACGATCCTCGGGGGAAGTAGCGACGGTTTGCTTACAGCGGCTGGCTATGAATACTCAGTGCGGATAGTAATAGGCAGATTCTGGTAGTACCAGGATAGAAACTGTACAGCTCGAGACTATAGAGACTATGTAAATGCAGATGTTAGAGCTCTCGCGTCCTTATCTCTTATCTATTCGGCCGCCTCGGGGGAGGAGTCGCGGACAATCAGCGCGATTAGAGATACCTGCACGGGAGAAAAGAATTAGTTTTTTATTTAGCTTCCACAGCTAAAAATTAGCTGTTCACATAATATCACTGAAATTTAATTAATCCGGCCCATTTCTTTTGTCCCTGCGCCTAGTTTTTAACTCGCACAGCTAAAACCAGGTCTGCTAGCTAAATTTCAGTAACATTATACGAACAGCTAATTCCTTTTTTCCGTGTATATGTAGAGATTCGGGGCTGTTTTATATCACGGTCAATTTATATCTCGCGTGTATTTTTAGCGACGGCGTGTATTGTTAGAATCTTGTCGGAAGGAATTCACCGCCGTCAATGTCGGGGCGTGCTGTCGATTTTTATTACGCTCGAGATCGAGGTCGAGATCGAATTAAAGATAAAGCGGGTGATTTATCGGACCGCGGATCACGAGATCCGCAGCCCGGCATATGCGGACCTCTTCGACCCCCCCCCCCCCC